TTCTTCAGCCTGACGTCATCCCTTACTGCCGGTGTCCACCACCGGTTTCGGGGGTTGCCGCCGGGACCAGCACCAGAGACCTTGCGACCACAGCTACGAGCCGCCGCATCAGCGATGGAGGAAGAGAACCTGGTCCACTCAGACTCAATGTCCCCCTCCTCCGCCGGGACCTGGGAGAAGCTCTCCCGGAGGTGTGAGTACACGCTTGGGCCTGCCAGGTCTGACCGGCTTCCTCCCCTGCCAGCGGATCCAACTCACGACCAGGTGGTGATCGGTTGACAGCTCCGCCCCTCTCTTCACCCAAGTGTCCGAGACACGCGGCCAGGTCAGATGATACGACAACAAAGTTGATCATCGACCTCCGGCCTAGGGTGTCCTGGTGCCACGTGCACTGGTGGACACCCTTGTGCTCAAACATGGTGTTCGTGATGGACAAACTGTGACTAGCACAGAAGTCCAACAACTGAACACCGCTCGGGTTCAAATCAGGGGGGGCGTTCTTCCCAATCACCCCTCTCCAAGTGTCACTGGCCCTTCCCACATGGGCGTTGAAGTCCCCCAGGAGAATAATGGAGTCCCCGGGCGGTGCACTGTCCAGTACCCCTCCCAAGGACTCCAAGAAGGCCGGGTACTCTGCACTGCCGTTAGGCCCGTAGGTTGTCACAACAGTGAGAGGCTTGTCCCCCACCCGGAGACGGAGGGACGCGACCCTCTAATTCACCGGGGAGAACTCCAACACGTGGCGGCTGAGATGGGGGGGCAATGGGTATGGCCACCTCAGCTCGCCGTCTCTCCCCGCGAGAAACACCAGAAAAGTGGAGCGTTAAACATTGTCAGAGAGGGGGCCTGCCTCACATCTTCAAGAAGATTGTTCCAGATTTTAGCAGTATGAATCTGAAAAGCAGCCTCCCCATGTTTAGTCCTGACTCTGGGCACTAATAGGAGTCCAGTCCCTGTGCTCCTCAGAGTCCGGGCTGGTTCATATGGGACTAACATGTCACTAATATATTTTGGTGCGAGGCCATGGAGAGACTTGTACACAAGCAGAGCTGTTTTAAAGTCTATTCTCTGAGCCACAGGAAGCCAATGCAGAGACCTGAGGACCGGACTAATATGGTCGTACTTCCTGGTTCTAGTCAGGACTCGAGCTGCTGCATTTTGAATGTACTGCAGCTGTTTTACAGCCTGTTTGGACAGACCTGTGAGCAGGCTATTGCAGTAGTCTAACCTACTGGAGACAAATGCATGGATAAGAATCTCCAAGTCTGCTTTAGACACTATGTTTTTGATCCTGGCAATGTTTTTTAGATGGTAAAAGCTGCTGACGTTACTGATTTGATGTGGCTATTACAATTTAAGTCTGAGTCCAGTATTAAGCCTAGATTTCTGACCTTGTTTGAAGGTTGTAGGGAGAGAGACTGTAGGTGACAGATGACAGATGCCGGGCGACGTCACTGGTTTTGTTGTAGTGCTGTCCATGGTTTGCTTTGGACTGCGCTTTGTCTGACTCGTCACCTGAGACTTGTCTGCCATGGGAGGCCCTACCAGGAGTATGAAGCCCCAGACAGCATAGCTCCCAGGATCACTCGAGTACTCAAACTCCCCCACCACGTTAAGGTGGCAGTCCAAGGGGGACTTCCTAATAATGATTTCAGAAATACAACACAGGGATACACATAACAGGTGTATGATTATTAAACAAGTAAAAGACAGTGAATCTTATCAAGAATTAAACTGTCTATGTGTTAGCCTCATTTCCTTGTGCCTTTGAACGCATCTAGGCGCTAGCTGTGCGGCTACTTCTCAAATACAGTAGCTTAGGCTGTGTGAGCATGAGTGAGAAAGTGTATAATGAAAACACATAAAATACAGAAATATATATATATACAAAAACCAAAAACTTGTCTCTGTCTACTTGGTATTAAAAGCCAAAGAGAAAAGGTGCGTCTTGAGCAGGGATTTAAAGTGCTCAAGTGATTGTGCAGTTCTAATGTGCAAAGGTAAAGAGTTCCACAACATAATTCCTCCCACAGTTGATTTGTTCACACCAAGCTGCTTGCCTATTGTAGATTCACTCTTCCCAGTCTGGTGCAGGTCTACAATTATTTTCCTGGTGTCCTTCGACAGCTCTTTGCTCTTGGCCATAGTGGAGTTTTAAGTCTGACTGTTTGAAGCTGTGGACACGTGTCTTTTACACAGATAACGAGTTCAAACAGGTGCCATTAATACAGGTAACCAGTGGAGGACAGAAGAGCTTCTTAAAGAAGTTACAGGTCTGTGAGAGCCAGAGATCTTCCTTGTTTGAAGTGACCAAATACTTATTTTACTTATTTTTAAAAATCCTACAATGTGAATTCCTGGATTTTTTTTTCACATTCTTTCTCTCACAGTTGAAGTGTACCTATGATGAAAATTACTGGCCTGTCATTATTTTAAGTGGGAGAACTTCCACAATCGATGGCAGATTAAATACTTTTTTGCCCCACTGTACATGTTAGCAGCAGTTTGTTTACACCTGTACATGTTAGCAGCAATATTTTTACATCTGTACATGCTAGCAGAAGTATTTTTACATGTGTACATTAGCAGCATGAGGCTCTGACATGTGGTTATTGCACATTCTGATATTAGTTAAGGATGTTACACATGACACATGAGATCAGGTTGGCAGTGTTTATTAGTACACGACTTTCTTTGATGAAAAGCTGCTGAGATATATGTTAAGCTATCTTTAGGGCTATTTTTTAGTAGTAGTGTGTTTATTTCGAATTACATGCGCAATACAAAAAAAAAAAGAAGAAACATATAAACATATATATGCACAATTCAAAAAGGGGTAGGTTGAAGTGAAACTTATGCTTCCTACCCCTTGTTACAAACCTTTCTCTTTACAGGAGTTCAAATGATATACAGGCATATTTCTCTCAGATATACAATTTACACTCGTCTCCATGAATAGTAATTTTAAATGCTGATTTATGATTTTATGATGTTCTTAGGTCTTGTTGTCACTGCCATTTTTACCCAAAGCTGTTTATTTAATGTTAACATAGTTATGTATGTAGACCCTACATAGTGCAGTGCATTAAAAACAGTGGGTAGAATGAGCCAGTCGAGAGAAGGTAATAGCCCCCACTCAACCCGCCCCACTCCCAACATCCCTGACCAATGGAAATGTAGGAAAATTTGCGTTGTATATGCTTGCTGTGTGGTGCGTTAAAAACGAGGTGTTGAGGCCGCTTGGCAAGAGGGAGCCCGCCAATCCAACCATATCTCGTCTGCTCTGATTTACTTGTATCTGTTTAAGCAGTAATGGCAATCACAACATGACAACTTGTTTTCCTACACTATAGATCTTGGTCATGTGCTATTCATGGTTAAGAGTTGTCCATTGCATCTGAAAGATTTAACTGCTCCAAATGATTTTTACACATGCCTTTTACAGTTTAAACAAATTACATTATTTACACATATATTACATAATACATACCTTACACACAATACTTTACCTTACACTTTATGTCACATCTCACACCTTACTTTCCATTTCTTCAAAAACAAACCATCAATTTAAATCCAAATTTTATTCTCATGTAACACTCTCATATTTCCTGAATGTAGTAGTTTTGATTTGTTTCTTAAAAACTATTATGTTTTTTGACTCTTCAATGTCTTTGTTAAGTGCGTTCCACAAGTTGATTCCTTTTACTGAGACTGTTCTTTCCATGACTTTTGTTCTGAATCTAGGTTTTTTAAAGATATCAGTTCCTTTCAGATTGTACTGACTTTGTCTTTTTTCAAAGTTCTCTTGAATGTTTGCGGGTAATGATTTGCAATTTGCTTTATACAATATCTGAAAAATATTATAATCCACTATATCATAAAATTTTAACACCTTACACTCTAAAAAAACAGGATTTGATGAGTCTCTATCTTTTGTTGTTCACTACTGTTAGGGCTCTTTTTTGTAAAATAAATATTGGCTGTGTATATGTTTTAAAAGTTGTCCCCCAAATTTCGACACAATAGGTTAGATATAGTATAATCATTGTATTATATAAGGCAATTAATGCTGTGTGGGTAAGAAAGTATTTCACTTTATGTAACACACCAATTGATTTGGCTAATTTTCCTTTTGTATAGTGTATGTGAGATTTCCAGTTTAGGTCCTCGTCAATGATGACTCCCAAAAATGTTGTTTCCTTTACCCTTTGGATTTCCAGGCCGTCTATTGTTATGGATATACTATTTCCAAGATTTTTGTTTTTATCATTGAATATCATGTCATTGGTTTTTTTAATGTTTAGCGCCAATTTATTTTGATCTTACCAGCTTTTTATTTTTGCAAGTTCTTTGTTTATTACTATTTCTAACTCTCCTATATTATTTCCAGAGTAAAATAATGTAGTGTCATCAGCGAATAAGATGCTTTGTAATACAGTTGATGCTTTTGGAAAATCATTCATGTATAATATAAACAAAATTGGTCCTAGTATTGAGCCTTGCGGCACCCCCCAACTGATATCGCAGATACTGATATCTGTGTATCCCAACCTAAAGATAAAACCTTTTCCACAATGGAATGGAACAACACATACAATTGTGTCTGAAAAGCCCAGTCAAAGTCCAGGCCTATCCAAGTGAAAACCAGCGTACATTTCTTTTCACAAACGTTCTCCATCTAATCACAGATCTGTTTTGTAATTTTGTAAAGATGTGTAAATCTTGTAGAGTCATCCCCCAACAGAGGTGATTGCAGCAAAACGGGTTCAACAAAGTATTCACTTATGCTCTTGGAATGCAGCAAGCTCCTCTTTTCAATTGTGTGTATATATATATAAAAAAAAGAAATACTATTTTTTTTCTGTTACTTTGTGGTGTTTCAGAAATCAAGAAACAGGACATAAACAGGCAAAAGTTCAAGTTGTACTTTTTGTATTTATACCAACACTGTTTAAAAAACCATAATCCTGCTTTAAATGTGTGGTCATTTCCATCAGAGTGAGGAGGATGAGGCTTTTAAGTTACTCCAGCAGAGCACAGAGGACTCCGCAGAGGGGCCTGGAGAGAAGGAGGATGACGAGCTGGTGGTGGCCGAATACCAAAGTGATGATGAAACCACACAAACCAAAAGCAGGTACAGTATACCAAACAACAAACCAAAACCACGACCTGCAACTACTATCCCTGCTGCTGCTGCTACTGCTACTGGTTGATGCACTTCTTGAATCTGTTGTGTTTGTGCACAGATTCCTTGGTCTTGAGGAAGATGATGATGAAGATTTGGTTGAAGAACATGTTACAAAGGTGACATTTGTGTATTTTACATGTTTATTACATGAAAGTCAGGTTTTCATGCTGAGCTGATGTTCCAGATTTACTACTGCAGTCGTACGCACTCCCAGCTGGCCCAGTTTGTGCACGAGGTCCAGAAGAGCCCCTTCAGTAAAGACCTGAGTGTGGTGACTCTGGGCTCCCGCCAAGTAAGTGTGTTTGACACAGCACTAAAAACATATAATATGGAGTTATTTTTATATATAAATCCTAATCCTCAATAAATCAAATATAAATTCACCAATAGTGTGGTTTTTGTGATCAAATTTGACAGAGTTGGATAAGTGGCCAAACGCTTTATTTATTTATTGCACAATATCAAATAAGTTAGAATATGTATTATATTGAATTTTATCTCGTCAAATGTTTGCTGTATCTAGATACATATTGTATTGTGTCATGCACTTAAAGATTAATATTTTAACGAGAGGTGATACCCAGCCCTACCCAGATGACAACTTTTTTATTACATTACATCCCGAAATGACATTGTCTTCTCACTGTAATCGCACTTTGAACTTCCAGAATTTATGCATCAATGAGGAGGTGCGGCGTCTGGGAAGCAGTCAGCGCATCAACGAGCGCTGCCTGGAGATGCACAAAAACAAACGGGGTACCTCTTGAGTCTGTTTTCTACAATCATAAACCTCCACTCTCCCTTTACTCCAGCTTTCTCTTTTGTGTGTGTAGAGAAATCCAGTCCTGAGGACGGAGTCAAACGTAAGCGTGGCTCTGCTAAAACGGTGTGTCCCTTTCACAAAGCCTCGGCACAGTTGCAGATGCGAGACGATATTCTTGCCAGTGTTTATGACATGGAGCAGCTTCTGAGACGGGGGAAGGAGCTTCACTCCTGCCCCTACTACGCCACACGCCTCTCCATACCACCAGCACAGGTCTGGTACAATCCAAATGAACCAAGGGGTTCACTAGTGAAAAACTACTTCAGACTTGATCTTTTTTTTGGTCTTCTCACAACATTGTTCATCAGTCACAAACCTGGAGGTATCTTTCGATCCCTTAAATATCAGGAACAAACGTGTAACCACCCCTTTTTGGTTGAAAAGGTTGCTACATTGTCCTGTATTTGTATGATGCCATTGTTTCACTATGACATTCTGTGGACGTGCTTCAGCAGGAGGGGGTTTCAGCGGTGGTTTTCGCGCCACAGGCTACACCCCTCAAGGGATAGATGCAGGTTGCTTCGGTTCTCCCTGACCACGGCGACCGATATCAGGTTCTGGCTCACCCCCGGCATATTAGGTGTGGGGTCTAGCCCTGACTGTGGCGACAGAGATCTGGCTGAAGTTCGGACGACCGGTAGCCGACCTTTTTGCCAGTGCAGATAACGCACAGTGCCCACTCTGGTTCTCGCTCAGGTCCACCTCTTGGGGTCGATGCCCTGGCCGAGGGGTCTTCTTTACTCCTTCAGACTCATGGTCTGGAGGTTGAGAGGAAGAACCTTGTAGCTAGGGGTCTTCCCTTGTCAGTAGTAGACACTATTCAGTGTGCGAGCGAGCCATAAACGGTTAGAGCCTACAGCACCAGGTAGAGGCTCTTCAAGGCGTGGTGTGGCGAGCAAACCTTGGACCCAGTCCAAGAAGGGGTTCTGGGGTTTCTCCAGGAACTGCTCGATAAGGGAAGGGCCTCCTCCACCCTTGCGGTCTTTGCTGCAGCCATTGTGACGGGTCATAGAGGGTTCGCAGGCTTCACTGCCCGGACCCATCCGTTGGTCAAACGTTTCTTGAGGGAAGCCTCGCAGGAGGAGGCCCCCCCTGAGGCGAACGTCCCCGGTTTGGGACTTGAAGGTGGTTCTGGAGGGTTTGTCTGGACCACCCTTCGAAACGTTCAAGCAAGCAAGCCCTGAATGTGTGTCTTTCAAGACAGCTACTGTATCTTGCAAGCCTTGTCATCAACCAAGAGGGTGGGTGATTTGTGTGCACTTTCTATTCATCCTTCTTTTCTGTCGTTTGACACAGGGGACCGGTTGGTCGAGCTCTGGCCCAACCCTTCTTTTCTCCCAAGGTTATTACATCTGCCTTCAGGTCTAGAGTCATTCAGATCAGACATTTCTTTCCGCCGCCTCATGCTTCACCAGACGATGCGAGGCGGCACCTCCTGTGCCCAATCAGTATGTTGAGGTGTTAATTAGGCATGACGTCTTCTTTCACGCGTTCGGACCAGTGCGCATGGCATACCTGGCACAGGGTCGTGCCCCCCCTCTGCGGTGTTCAGGGCTCGCTCCACACGGGGTGTGGCGACCTCCAATGCGTTACTCCGTGTGGAGGGCGTCTGCCGATCAGCGTCCTGGTCCTCGTCGTTCACTTTTGTCCAATCATACCTCCTGGACGTATCATTCGGTTTTGAGCGCAGTGGATAATTGACTATACGGTTGAGACCTGTGGGTGCTCTTGCTAGAGGCGGCCTCCGGTCTTTCCTGAAGGGAACGGAGTTTTGGATTACCCTGTTCCCTTCTGAGGCGTCCTTGGGATACGGCCTGCCCTTGGGGCTACCTTCTTACAGCCTACTATGAGCGTCCTTGTTTGGAGCGGATCAAGTACTCTTCTTCCTTTCTGCTGCCCTGAGTCGGTTCACCTGGGGGGGTGTTCTGGGACTCGGGCAGGGCTCCGATCACCTTATGCTGGCCTGATGGGAGTACATTGTCACTACGGCCTACGCGTAGTTTACCCACAGCGTAGCCCTCAGGGGTGTAGCACTATGAAAGAGTGTAGAAAGAGTAGTTACCTATGTAACGGTAGTTCTAGATGCGTAGCCCCTTAGCTGCAGGCCCATCAGACCAGTCTGGCTTTGGTCGAGTTCAAAGTGGCAGTGCAGGCCTGGGCTCAGTTATTTATAGGAGGAGCTCGCTTGTGATTGGAGCATTGGATATTCGATCTCTCTGGCGGTTTTTTAGATGTATCCACGCTTATATCCGGAACTACTGTGACATAATGGTCAGGGCAATTTTCTTGTATTTATGTGATTTATTACTGCACTACCTGATTATGCTGATATCAGTTTGTGCTAAAGATTAACTTTCTTTTATTAGTTGAAAAAGCATATCAAAGGCTGCTAATTAACTAGCCTGATCTTAGCCATCCGCTCAATCATCTTTTCACTGAGTACGAAATGAAATGAGTACGATGGTATGGTAAGACCAGGCTACTAATGAATTTATAAATAATTCATGTTCATAAGGAGTTTCTTGCCCACTTCTCATATACAACTTATGTTTACAACTATAAACAACCATTTCATTTAGAAAGATTACAAACGAGTAGCAGACAACTATGAAGTGAAAGTAAAATGATAAGAGATTCTGTTATTGTTTTAAAAATCAAGAAGTGAAAAGTTGGGCCAAGACAAGTATTCATAGTGCATGAGTTGATACTTTCTTGAACCCCCTTTTGCTGCTATAACAGCAGCAAGTCTTTTGGGGTATGACTCTACGAGATTCATAAAGCAAAAGTTTAGCCCGTTCCTCTTTTTAAAATAACTCGTGCTTTGTCAGATTAGGTGGAAAGCTGTTTTCAGATCTTAGACAGGGCTATTCTAACACATGAATATGTCATTCCATTGTAGATTTAACTTTGTTTGGGGTCATTGTTCTGTTATAAGGTGAATCTTTGTCCTAGCCCTAATTCCCCTGCTGACTCCAGCAGGTTTTCCTCCAAAATATCCCTGTATTTGGCTCCATCCATCTTCCCAACATACAATCATCCCTGTCCCAGGTGAAGAAAAGCAGCCACATAGCATAATGCTCCCCCCGCCATAATTGACACTGGGGATGGTGCATTCAGGACGATGAGCAGTGTTAGGTTTGTGCCAAACATAACATTGATAAAAGTTCAATTTTTGTCTCATTTGACCAAAGCACCTGATGCAAAACTTGTGCAGACCCAATCTTTAACTTTACTATTTGAAGACAACAGATTCTACTTTCACTTCACAGTTGCTACTTTTGTGTAGTTCAAAGTTACCATTATCTATATAATTATTCTTATTACATAATGTACAAAAGTTCAAGCTGTATCAATACTTTAGCAAGGCACTGTAAATGTACATTTTTAAGCGGTTAATATGTAATGTTTTTAAAATTGTTCCAATGTTAAAATACTGGGCCAATATTAATGGACAAATATTAGGCATGAATATTGTGTGTCATGCTTAATTGATAAAAAATACAAACTCTGAATGTGTCAGGGACCAAACCCTGTGGAACACATTTTAGTGTAAACTGGGATAATAGTCTTGTCTCCATAAATCCATTAATTTTACTCCATAGCTGGTGGTGTTGCCCTATCAGATGATCCTCCATGAGGCCACGCGGCGTGCGGCAGGAGTCCAGCTGAAGGGCCAGGTCAGGATGTCCCATCTGCCTGACCACTGTGGACAGTGCAGTAGTTAACCTGCGTGTGTGTCTGCGTGTGTCTGTGTGTCCAGGTGGTGATCATAGACGAAGCCCATAACCTGAGTGACACACTCTCATGCATCCACAGCGCTGAAGTGACCGGAGCCCAGGTGAACAAGTCTAAAGCACAATTAATTACATCAACTGTTCAAATGTATTTAGAGATTGAAAACTTACAGAAGCAAGTAATCTGTCTTTTTATATAGCGCAATTTTACAGACCAAGGTCACCCAAAGTGTTTTACAATGTTCAGAGTTCAGATATTGTTTCATTCACTCCACACAGTGACAATGCTAGCGAGACACCAAACACACTGGCTTATCAAAGCCCCCAATTAACACCATCCATCTATCACTCATTACATTCATTCCTATTGTGCCTGTTTTTAGTTGTAGGGGGAACCAGAACACCCAGAGGAAACTTATGCAGACACGGGAGAACATGCAATCTCCACTCAGAAAGGCCCTGTTGCGACCGGGATTCAAACCCCGGACCTTAAAATTATTGCAAGTTAATTCTCATTAAACAAAAATGGGCACAACGTTTATTATCTTCTGTTAGACGAAAAAAAAAAGAATCTTTTATTGTCTTTTGTAAATGTGCATGTTTACAAATAATTCATTTAAAAAAAATTGTGTGATGGAGTTGCATGAAAATATGTATATGTTTTGTCAGCTGTGCCGGGCTCACTCTCAGCTGAGCCAGTACTCCGACCGCTATAGGTGAGTCAGCACATGTTTAAAAGGTACAAGTTGATGGAAAGTTATTCATAGGTACTTTGAGATCATTATCATGGTTATCACACAATTGTGACACATTTCTTGATAATAAATTCTGTAGTAGAAATAATTTAACTAAGTAATATCAATGGGTGGAAAAATAAAATAATTGTATTGTTTGATTTTGTCCAAATGGTGTATTGACACAAACATGGGTGTCAATAATATACAGATAACTAGTGTTGTTAGTGGAATGATAATTTTTATTATTCAGAAAAAAATTATATTAGCACATTTTGATACATGCTTTGATCAAGTAATTGTATGACCCTATTATACCCGTTTTCAAAACACAAAACACCTGAATTTTTCTCATCTGCAGATCTCTTTCTTCTCATACAGACGACTGATAAATCTGTAGAGTAGAATCTTTAAACATCATATATATTCAAGTGTAACGCTGAATCAGCATATTATTTCTAAAAATAAGAATAATCATTATAATTCAAATTGGGCTGGCTGTACTTCTAACATGATATGGTAGACATGAAGTTGGCTGGATGACAATCTTTAGTGAACTCTCATATGGGTTGTACAGGTGATTTTAGCCAATTCAACTGACTTGTGTGTTTGAAACTAGGAGCAGACTCTTAGCCAAGAACATCATGTACATCAAACAGATCCTGTTCGTGATCCAGGGGCTCGTCAGAGCCCTGGGAGGTGAGATTATCTCAGGGAAAACCAATTCTAATAAAATAAACAATATATGTACTCTGACATTATGGTGTGAACTCAGTTGAGACTTATATTGTGTCATCATCTGTAGGTAAAGTTGGGCAGAATCCACAAAGTCAGAGCACACAGGCTGGTGAGGATTCTTGGAAACTTTAGAGAAAAATTATACTAGAATGTGATTTCACTCATTACTCATCATTTGTTTTTTTCAGGCACAGAAATGTTCACCATAAACAATTTCTTATTTAAGGCACAGATTGACAATATTAACTTATTTAAGGTAAGCGCTCTCATGCGGAATGGTGTTTATGGGGAAGAAGAAATTAGAAAGTTTTTGAAATGGGACTATATGTCTTTATCCCATTCTTCAGAATGTACTCAAATTTAGATAAAAACTTCTTGATTCAAGCAATTGGTACCTCTTTGGAGTACTTTTTGGAGTGCATAATGATTTACATGGTTTATTTGATTTTCAGCTGCAGCGATATTTTGAGAAGAGCCTGATCAGCCGAAAGGTAAGCTCAGTGTACATGTACTTGTCTCGTCATAATGCCAGAGACAGATATGACTGTGCGTTGTGTGCAGTTGGGGGGTTTTGTGGAGAAGTATGCAGGCACCGGAGTCACAGTGCACCCCCACAACACGTATACGGAGAACCGCCACACAGAGGGACTGAATCGGTACCTCCAGAGCCTGCAGGGCAACTTTGCCCAAACAGGTAATGTTATGTTTCTCCACATGTCGGGGTGGGTTTCCTTCAGGTTCTCTGATTTCACCCACCACCCAAAACATGCAGCAGTCAGTAGGATTACCAAACCCAATCCTACTGAGGTGGTCCTCCTGAACTAATTACACAAGCTAGAAATATATTCGTCTGATGTTGTTGGAGTATGCACATGTCACATGAGAAGCACGCTGTAAAAAAAACACACTAAATTGACCACAAAAAAATCTGCAAAACAGCGAGGTGGGGATGCACCGGGAGAGGTAAACCGTGTTATAGCGTGGGACTACCGTACACTCTAGGCTAGGGGTAGATAACTCAAAAGGTTCAAAGAGCCATATTTGTCAATTTAAAAAAAAAATAAAAAATCTGACTGGAGCCGCAAAAAATATGTGTTGACTTGTATGAAGGCAACACAGGCTGTAAGCTGTATGAGCTATATGAGCTATATTAGCCTACTACTGTATAAAATGACCTGGTATAGGCGGCAAATACATAATATACATTCATTAATACCAAATGTGTATTTTTAGAGAATGATGCATCACGTGACTACTCTGCTATACGATATATGGTGCTTTAAGTTTACCTTCCATTTTGTTGCGTTCATGCAATTGTAGAAATACAAATAAATACATTTTCTTTTTGGCTCAGAGTTCACATACATGTACTGTCTGTTCATATTGATCACGGTGAGAAAGGTGTTTTGCGCTTCATTGTTCCTTTTGTTATACAGCAGTAGAAGTTTATAGATGAATCCACTCCAGGAGAACTTAACCTTTTTGGAAGTGTTTTTTGCATTAATGTTTTTTGTTTTTATGTGCAAGTTCTACCATATGTGTCCTACAGTGATGCTGTCTAAGCAGCAGGGCGCAGCAGAGAGTGACACTGTGCTGTCCTCTTCTCCAATGATGCAACTGGAGGGTTTCTTCATGAGCCTCACCAACTGTAACACAGATGGCCGGGTGGTGCTGCACCGCCACGGTACGAGGATATCTGATTGGAATATACACTATTCATCCATTTAATCGTTATTTTTCATCATTCCAAGTGGAAGTTTGTTAGAGTGAAGACAGGGATTTTTGTCACTCATAACAAAACAATGTGATATCTATCTAATATTGAGGTTAGATGATTAACATTGCCTTATGCCTATTCAACTTGCGGCTATGGGAATAACTAATCTTCCAAAAATAAAATGTTTAGTCCTGTTTCATACTGGGTAAATACTTTTTGATTTAGCAAGTAAGTGGCATCATATATTGGTTTAATTAAGCATAAAGACAAAACATTAAAATCTTTTTACTTGTCACTAGACCTAAAGCCCGTTTCTAGGAGCTGGTTTGCTTTTGGTTTGGTGCAAGTTCTCGTTTACTTTTAAGAAACAGAAAACTCAAAAGTTCCTTCAAAGAGTTTAGATCCAGTTCAGTGTTTATCGCAGCAACCGCCTGCTCACGTCAACTCTGTTTTGGACCAGGGTCAGTTAATTTAAGTTTAAGTTTAGAGTTCAAAACAACAACAAGGACAAATCAGCTAAGAGTATACTTCCATGTAAGAAAGCTATACTGAAACCTTTGGTTCAGGACTTTCAAAGATTAAAATATAATTTACTGCTTTGTAAAATGTGTGAAATGTTCGCCACATTGATACACTGTATATATGTCTATTCTCAATATAATATGCTATATACACACTAAACTCAATTAATAGTACTTCTATTTTTAATCTACTCCTATTGGCTGAGCCCTGCCTCATTCTTGTGCAGCAGCTTCATCAGCTTGACTCAGAGTTGACCAAGAACGTTGATACACAGCATTCAGCAGAACATGAACCTTAACCTGATCTGTTTGAGTTTCATTGGATTAAGTAACAAGTTTGTTGTTCTACCATGGCATGTTAGACATTTATTCGGTTCTCATGAATGAATCCAAAATATTCTTAGTAATGATAATAGCGGTAATAATATGGGCCTCCATAATATTGCGATATCCCAATGTGCCCCCTGAAGAAAATAATTGCCCCTGGTCTATATGCTCCTGAACCTTGTTAATTTCTGACACATCCCCAGACTCAAAACAAACTCCAGTCAAATTACATTCAACTTAAATGACACTCTGCCATGTTTTAAGTTTACTAAACAGAAGACACTTCCCACTTTTACTACTAGATATGTGTCTGAGATTTCTGTCTGCAATGTGGCACGTGGCAATAGTATGGATTTGTTCATGTAGATGAGTTTGTTGTGTGTGTGTGGTTGTGCAGGCACTCTCGCCGACAGCAGTGTGAAGTTCCTGCTCCTGAACCCGGCCGTGCACTTCGCGCAGGTGCTGAGGGAGAGCAGGGCTGTGGTCATCGCTGGAGGCACCATGCAGCCGGTAACACTCTCACTTTGTCCAGTAAACATTCATAATATGGACATTCTTCATATTTGATTCAACGATCATGTCTCGTTTTCCATCCATCCACTTTCTTCCCCTTAATCCATTTCTGGGGGGGTGGCAGTCAGAACACCAGCTGCACTGATCCTCGTGCAGGTGGAGGATGGCTGCTTCGTGAGTGACAACAAAGTCTTGATCTTTCAGTGGGGGCTTCAGGCAAAGTGGGGTTAAGTGTCTTGCCCAAGGACACTCAAACAGTAGACATCAGTGGGAGTCACACGATGGGCTCAAACCCACAACCTTCAAGCTCAAAGGCCAATGTTCTACTTACTGAGCCACTAATGCTATGTTTTCCTTTGTATAATTCTATCAAATACATTTGATCTTAGGTTTCAGACTTCAAACAGGAGCTTCTCTTCTCTGCTGGCGTGGAGGAGGGTCGGATTGCAGAGTTTTCGTGTGGTGAGCCTTCTAGTTGCTCTTTCCCAAGTGAAAAAATATGTACTTAAATATTTATAAATTCTGTATATTCATTTTGGAAAAACATTCTTGGTACTCAATATATTTAAGTTGAACTTTAGTAATCTATATAAACTTTAGATATGTCAAATATAGTTTTGTGTACCTCATTCCTAATACCTCGTTGTAAACACAGGACTCCTGTTGTTGAATTTGTTTGACTTTACTAACATTTATTTTTGATTAACCAATGTTTACGCTCCAGTTAAATACATTCAGCCAACTTCAGCTCAGTCAACTGTCAACCAATATTGCCATGCCATAGTTCATTTTGTATTTTTAGGAATGAGCAAATGGTGTAGTTGAAGGAGGACAACGATGGTGGTGGCTGCCATGACTAAAAATTAAACCAGGGCAGAGTTGCATAAAGGTTGTGAATCTATTTGTCGTTCCTTATTTTAAACCTCATAACCAAAATTAACTTAAAGTGGCCCTCTAACTCAAAAGTTTGGACACCCCTAATTTAGTAGAAAAATTAAAGCTGAAGTACCTAACTTTTTATCTCCTAGATAATGTTTGTCCTAGCAGAAAGAGTCTTATTAAAGTAAAATGCTGTCTTCATCTCATTAAAATATATTTACTTATAAGAAAGTAATATGTGAGTCACTATTTGACACTTTGTCTGAGATGGTGGTCCTCTGGATTTTTCTGACAAAAGTCAAAAACAATAAAAAGATGTGACAAGAACTAGACCTAGAACCAGGAATGAGTTATAGGGATTTGATTACATGCAGTAGTTTTTTGTGTGTTTAGGTACCCAAGCTTCAAATAGATTTTCTTTAGCATCACGGTCACATCCACTTTAGCATCACCACTTCCTTTATTAAGGATTCTTTCTTACACGTTGATGCCATTATCAAAATCTATTATTCCAGGAACAACAAGACGTTCCAAAATGTTATAAAGTTGGCATATGTACAAATGTATATTGAGATTAACATTAAAATGTTAGCTTTCATGATTGAGGCACAATGATTATTGCTAAGAAAAAAATAGAATTCTGTACATTCTAGACCGTTTTTATTTTGTGCCTAAATGTAGAAATAAAACCCTAATTTTTCATAAATGAGTCCCCAGGATTATGACATGTGCACAGAAGAACTTATTTAATATAAGGTCTCCTTCTGTGCAGGGCATGTGATCCCTCCTGAAAACATCCTTCCAATAGTCCTTTGCAGCGGGCCCTCAGGTCAGGAGCTGGATTTCACGTTCCAGAAGCGAGACTCCCCGAGCATGGTGAGTGCCTGTCAGTCTGGACGTCAGTCTGGACCCCGGTCTGAGCCTTTTTGGATGGTTCCTCATGCGGTGTACTGTAAACAGATGGACGAGACGGGCCGGGTCCTCTCCAACATCTGTAATGTGGTTCCTGGGGGAGTTGTGTGTTTCTTCCCCTCCTATGACTATGCACGAAAGATCATCAGTCACTGGGAGACCGCTGGAGCGCTCGGGCGTCTGGCCAGCAAGAAAAAGGTCAGAGCTATTCCAAAGACCCAAAACAATATAACAAAAACAGTGTTCAGCACGTTGTCATGTCAAAAACGGATTTCCACCACCCACGCTTATATCACTTGACATATCTTTATTACGAGGAATAGCCTAATGAGATGCATCATCTCGTTTTCAGGAGGGTCCTCAAAAATAGCAACACAAGTAGCAGCAGTGGTTGTCAAATAAATGCAGTTACAGTATAATATAAAAATAAAAAACAGAACAAGTTACAATAAATAAATTCAATAAAATAACAGACAAAACAAATACAAAGACAGAAACATTCACTCACACACACACAGAGCTCTCAGAGGTCAGGTCACCCTACTCCTCAAACTAGGACAGTCAGAACCAAAGGATATAGTGTTTAAAAGAACGTTCAGTAGCAGTTACACTTGCAGATAGATTAAAGCAGTTAATGGATTGATAAAGTGGGCGACAGTAGCTCAGTTGGTAGAGCATTGGCCACCAGGATCAAGCATCTGCAGGCAACACTCCGGAGGTCAGCCAGGTCAACTCCAGTTTTAAAAGACAGAACACAGCATTGTCCATTATGTCTGAAACACTTTACAAACATCTATCTGGACCACACAATGTTTGATGTTTACTAGAATAGCATATTGGAATTTCCCACTTCTTCCACTAGATGCGGCTGTTCTACATTCAAGTAACTCTCATTATCTATTAGGGGTGTGACGATACTTTCTCCCGCGATTCGATTATCGATATGCATTTGCCAAGTATTGATATCGATTTTAAAAAGAAAAGATTTTTTTTTTTTTTAATTGGTATCAATACTTAATATATGGCTACATTACACATCTCCATTCCATTTATCATGAAATAAAGTGTATTTTTTCTTTTATTTATGCCATAAATTGGCATATTGTGTATTTCTGACCAATATATAGATAATCGTCATATCGTGATAAAATCGTTATCGTGATAATATTGTTATCGTGAGCTTTGTATCGTGTATCGTATTGTTTCGTATCGTGAGGTACCCTTAGGTTCCCACCCCATTATCTATTATGTCGATCTGTATATTCTCTTCTTATCCCAACTCCCAATGCTCTTTCAAACACAACACATTGAATGGAAAGAAACAAGATGGAGACAGACATGGGCATTAAAATCATCAATAGTCAAAGTACATTAAAAAGAGTGAAGACAAATCCCTCAGTTGTATGCACACCTAAACACAACTGAATTTTTTAACCTAGATTTGAACATTGTCAGAGAAGAAGCCTGTCTCACATTTTCAGGAAGGTTTAGATTTAGATTAGCACCATGAATCTGAAATGAAGCCTGGGCACCAGCAGGAGGCCAGTCCCTGTGCCAGAGTCAGAGTTTGTCATATTAAAAAAAAGCCAGAATTTCGGAAAAAAGTTTAAAATGAACCAAGTGTTTCTGGCAATTTCACAACCATAGATATCAGGTACTCGCCCTTTAAGCCTGCCTCATCATAACCATCATCTGATTTCTCATCAGATCTTCCAGGAGCCAAAAAAGGCTGGCCAGGTGGAGCAGGTGCTGAGTGAGTTCTCCCGCTGTATCCAGGTGAGAAGGCCACGTGTTTGGGTCTGTGTGGAGGTTTTTCTAGGTTTAAGCAATTTGAAACTGTCATGAGCAGAGATGTGCACACGGTGGCGCTGTTCTCACTGGAGCCCTGCTGTTTTCTGTGGTCGGAGGGAAGATGAGTGAAGGCATCAACTTCTCCGACGAGTTGGGACGGTGTGTAATCCCTTTACTCGGATTCAAATTCATTTTATTTGCTATTTGCAGTAAAACTATATTGGAATACATGTGCAAAAGTCCCTAGTGTGCTTCAGACAAATATGTAAAATAAAACAAGAAATAAAGTCCAAGTAACAATTGTCTCTGTGAAACCAATCTCAACAAAAACAATTTAAATAGTGCATGATCATTAAAGTGCTTTGTTCAGACTGATAACGGCTTGTGGAAAGACGCTGTCAGCATATCCAGATGTCCTGCATCAATTTCTTCTGCCATAGAGAAGAAGCTGGAACATGGCTTTTCCAGGGGCTAGAAGAGTAATTGTAGATTCTAAGAATCTGGATTCTTAAAGCTCCTCCAGAACAGGTGGCTCACAGCCCTTTTTTAGAGCAGAGAGCAGAGCTTCTCTCTCTGGTCTCTCTCAGGTCTCTCTCAGGTCCCACAGCTCAGTCCCCTTTGCATATTGGAGCACCCTGTTTAGAGCTCTTTTCTTTGGCTGGGTTGTTGCCGAACCACACAGTCACAGAACCAACAAGCAACATTTCAAAACTGCAGTGATAAAAGTGAAGCAGCATCTTCGAGAAACCACCACAAACTCTGTGGTAAAAGCTGACTTTTAGTATTTCTAAAACATGAGCTTTGGCTACTAAAACTATTATTATGCTTACCATTGTTCCCATGCATGTCAGAACATGCAAGACACATTTTACTATTCTGGAAATGTTCCTTAAGTCTTTTAAGCGGAGGTACGTAACTTTCAAACCCCAACAATGGAACTATGTAATACAACCATGTCACTATTTCCTTGCTCTAAAACAGTTTGGTTCTATCTATAGTTTTCACATGAGTGTATTTTTGACCTCTGTCACAATTTTAGATCCACTTTTTCAGACAGAAAGGTGAAAAAGAGAGGACCATGCTCACTCAATCACGCCAATCAGCTCTCAGCCCAAAGAGTCCAATAGTGACTCACAAGGCTTTATTCCCCCTACTCAAAAGATGTTTTCCAATTGGATTAAGAGAGCATGTTGTGGTGGTCTGATTAGTTGGATTTTACTTTCTAAGTTAAGATAAGATGACCCTTTTCTTGTCCCTCTGGGGAAATTTTCGGTTTTGGAATAACATGTTTTATTTTGAAATCTGGTACTCCTATTGTTTTAACTCTGCCTCTTGCTTGTGTATGGTTTGCGTTGACAGTTAGCTGTTATGACGCAAGTTTCTAGATTTTTGCATAAATCCTTTTCTTAAAGCTTGTTGTTCGGGTAGTTTTTTTACATAACTGGTTCTCCATGATCCCTTTTTCAAACTTATGAGGGCACGATGAAAGCAACGTTATTAGTAGCTCATGTGAAGCGAAAATGCTTCCTTTTTGTCGCTTATCAACCAATGTATTTAAAGATGGCACATTAAACTGGAGAGTCCTCAGTTCTTATGGACATTTATAAGTCAACTCCTGAGTCTATGACAACAATTCAAAAACATAGTGGACGTAAATATTCTTAAAACATTTGTTATTGGTTAAACATTTTCTTCATTTGGAGCAACTGTAAAAATTGTTTTTTCTTTTGCTTTTCAAAAATGGCTCAAATAACTGCTGTATGTCTATTTGTTTACTGAAACTTGTCAAATTGCGATTAATGATGCAGCCCTAGTTGTAACAAACATTTGAATTAGTCTTGATGATGAAATGGCAATAGAGGACACTTTCCAGACAGATTCAGATTCAGATTCATTTATTTGCCATTTGCAGTAAAACCACATAGGAAAAACTGTGCAAGACCCCGGTGTAGACGAAACGATTACCGCATTTTCTACTATTAATCATTTCAGCCCCGTCTCAATCTCAAAGATGAATTAAGAGATCCTTTATTCGTCCCATAGTGGGGAAATTTTGGGCAACAGTAGCTCAGTTGGTAGAGTGTTGGCCTTTGAGCCAGAGGGTCGTGGGTTCGAGCCCGACTTTCACCATCGACTCCTGCTGTCATTGTGTCCTTGGCAAGACACTTAACCTCTGGGAACACCAGCCACAGTGGGGCGGCTGCGGCTGTAAAGTGCTAAACTGCCGTTGTGTCCTTAGGCAAGACACTTTACCCCTATTGGCTAGAATGAGTCTGGTGTGTGTGTGAATGGTTGGTGGTGATCTGAGGGGCCGATGGAACATACTGGTTGCCTCGCTTCTGTCAGTGTGTCCCAGGGCAGCTGTGGCTACAGTAGTAGTTCATCACCACCGTGTGAGGAGTGAAAGAATAATGACATGTGAAGCGTCTTTGAGTGTCCAAAGAAGCGCTATATAAAACCAATGCATTATTATTAATTTCCGTGTTGCTTCACAACGTATAGAACAATAGAAATGAGGAGCATACAGCACAAGATATGTGAACAATAGCTATACTAATTATTATAAAATAATATCTCTAATCTCTATCTCTAACTAATCAAAGGACTAGTATACAATCTCTATCTTGAACATAATAATATAGAGTATAAAGTTTTGCATTTGGCAAAATAAGAGTTAAGTACAAAGTACTGTATATTCTAGTGCAAGCAGTATTTACATCTGCACATTTTAGCAGCTGTATGTTTACATCTGTACATGTTGGCAGCTGTATGTTTACATCTGAACATTTTAGCAGCAGTATTACATCTGTACATGTTGGCAGCAGTATTACATCTGTACATGTTGGCAGCAGTATGTTTACATCTGTACATGTTGGCAGCAGTATGTTTACATCTGTACATGTTGGCAGCAGTATGTTTACATCTGTACATGTTGGCATGGCAGCTGTATGTTTACATCTGTACATGTTGGCAGCAGTATGTTTACATCTGTACATGTTGGCAGTAGTATGTTTACATCTGTACATGTTGGCATGGCAGCTGTATGTTTACATCTGTACATGTTGGCAGCAGTATGTTTACATCTGTACATGTTGGCAGCAGTATGTTTACATCTGTACATGTTGGCATGGCAGCTTCATGTTTACATCTGTACATGTTGGCATGGCAGCTGTATGTTTACATCTGTACCTTAGCAGCATGAGGCTCTGGGACATTTGATTATTGTGTTAGTCTCAGATGATATGTAAGTGATCATTTACGTCATAGATACAGTATTTTCAGCGTGCATCTGTGTGCAGGTGTGTAGTGATGGTGGGAATGCCCTATCCGAACATCAAGTCCCCGGAGCTGCAGGAAAAGATGGCTTATCTGGACAAACACCTGGTGAGCTGACCTGAACCAAATGTCCATGTATGGTATGTTAGGTTGTTAGGGTAATCCGATATCGCTAGGGATGGGCAGATGAAGCCCTATTACACATCGAGGATTTCTTTGCCAGATTGTATCTAATGTGTCGGAGCCTCTGAGCTAACTCATTCTAGCTTACTAGTAACACTGACATCGAGGGGACAAATGTAATCACTGTGGCTTCTGAATACTAAACGCTATCAAACTAAGGAGGCGCGTCCAAACCATAGACTGTAACCAGTGGGGGCGGGTCCCGGCTCAGAAGGGTCTATGAGCACGTGCGTTGACATCCTTGCAATCTGACTTCTTGCCTGTGGTGGCGTAACCGGAAACAGAATTATTCAGTGCATTCTTACGACACCTTCTTTCCTCTCAAAAACTGCTTTACAGGATGGTCCAAAAGTTGGCTCTTGGCTCAATGCTACGTTCCAGGTGCGTGTTATTGCTGAGGGGAGTATTTTTCTTTTGGACCAGTCTAGTTTAGCCGCTGTAGACTTTTGAATGGTAAATGAATGGGGCTGGGAAACAAAATTATCTCCCAGCCCTAGTTGCTAAACTTTCAAAAGCCGATTTTGAAGTTTCTTTTTAAAAATCACAATAGAAGTTTTAGGTAGTTGCTGATGGTTTTGACAAGTTTTCAAGTGTTTTTGCATTATAGAACATTGCAGCATGGAGCAATTTATTTGTTTATTGTGCCAGTTGTCATGTAAATAATAATAATTCTGAATTGTTAAATCTCACAATGATTGTAATTCTAAAATTTGACATTATAATGTGTCTATGTATGTCAGCCTCACAGTGGAGGGAGGAGTCCTGGCCAGGCACTTGTCGAAAACCTCTGCATGAGGGCGGTCAACCAGTCCATTGGTAAGGCTGCCACGCACTGCTGCTGCTTTAAAAATGAAGGGACGACTGTGAAATGAACTAGTCGAATGTAGCAACAGAACAAAGGTATAAGAGGGAGATTTCATGGACCTGAAGGCAGTAATGGAAGTCAGTTTCTGTGATGCTTCACACAGTGAAACCAAAGTACCTAACGCCTGTCTTAATTGTATTAGAAAATGTTATCTTTTGAGGTACTTGTGAAAGTGCCCTGCTATTCACTATTTGACTCTTTGAGTGAGAGTGGTCTTCTCTTTGAACTTTTCCGTCAAAATCATAGCACATGCATGAGAAAACTAGAAAGAAACATTTAATTATAGAAGCAAACTAGTTACATGTATTTTATTACATTCGTTTATTTATCGTTTTTTTAAACTTTGGCACTTTTTAACTATTAAATATTGGGTACCTAACTGCCGTTGTGCCCTTAGGCAAGACACTTTACCCCCATTGCCTAGTGAGTCTGGTGTGTGTGAGAATGATTGGTGGTGGTCGGAGGGGCCGATGGCACATACTGGTTGCCTCGCTTCTGTCAGTGTGCCCCAGGGCAGCTGTGGCTACAGTAGTAGTTCATCACCACCATGTATGGAGTAAAAGAATAATGACATGTAAAGCGTCTGAGTGTCCAAAAAAGCGTTATATGAAACAGATTTATTATTATTATTTCAATGCATTTCAGCCAATTGGCCTTCATTAGGGATTAAATGGTACAAAAATGTCCTTTGTAAGTCTAAAGTAAAGTAGACCTGTTACTACCATATACCGTACATAGATGGGCTTTGTTGAGCTTGCAGGTTAGGACAAAGTTTTGCTCCAACTCACTCTGGAGTCAATAGGAGCCAAGCTCTGTTGCAGTGTGTCACGCTCACTATTTTTTGACTCAAAAATCAGCTTTGTGTTCTATATGATTCTTGTGTTTTGTATGTTGATATTGTGTTTTTAAATCTAGATGAGCTTTACCAGTCACATGCCTTCATTCGCATAAACTGTATAATAGCTTCTTTACAAGTAATACCAGCTTCAGAGTTTGAACGTGTACTGTGTGTTAAAGGCAGAGCCATCCGTCACCGTGGAGACTATTCCAGCATGGTTCTTTGTGACCGGCGTTACGCCCGCCCTGCAACTCAGGCCAAGCTGCCAGCCTGGATCCAGGAGCGCACCAGCACGCACGCATCCTTTGGCCCGGCTTTTGCTGCTCTCAGGAAGGTACAACACTAGTACTGCTTCAATTCAAACACATCTACGGTACGGTTACATAATTCTATAAAGATGGTTATCTGACATCCCTATACTTTTGTAATCAATTGGTCTGCATGAGTGTTCAAACAACCAAAAGCCCATCCCTCAGGCATGTCGAACTCGGAATATGGGCCAAATCTGGCCCGCAAGACCATTTTTATTGACCCCTGAAAAAAAATTAGTCCTTATGGGCTTTAAAGTGAAGTTTGACATAATGAGCTACATGGTAGCCTATTATCTCAGGAAACCAACCATATCATTGAATCTGTTGGAATGTAATTAGAAGTTAAATAAAAAAAATTGGAATTTTTTTCTTAAATATTAACTGTCTTCAGTTACATCTATTCTTGATATTTGGCCAGTTATGGTTGAGTCCAAACGTACTAGAAAATGATATCCAAAGTTGTGTTGAATACAGTACTAAAGAAAACCAGCTCTTATGTCTTTTAATTTGACCCCCCCCTCTGTCTATTGGTGTGGCTTTCCTGATTTTGCATTACCTTCAGTCACTATTGACACACTAAAATTGTCATCTTTAACACGCTGTTTGTATTAACCATTTTGTTTCCTGTTCCAGTTCTTTTTGGAGAAGAAGCAGCAGCAGCAGCAGCAGCAGTAAGATAATATCAAAGTCCAAAGATGTAATTTTTAATTGTCTTGATCAATGTGTGTTTGTGTGCAAGTAAACCTTGATAAAATTGCAATAACAAATAAGACAAATACACATTTTTTATTTAAGCAGTATCAGGGAATGAAAAATTATATCGTACATTCAAGTCATAGTTAGTTCAGCTTCTTACATTTGAATGGAAAATGTTAAATTGTTGTGTTTTCTACGTGTTAATAAATTATGTTCAATATTTTGAACTCTTTGTTTTTGACTTCCTAAGATGTATTCACAGAATGAGTAATGTGATGGACTGTATCTGTAAAGGGTCCATGTTGCTGATGCCACACTTGCTATGCCTCCCAGTCGTCCTCTTCCCCAGCAGAGGCGTGAGGAGCTGGGGGCGGGGGGATCACGTCAGACATCCGGGCAAACGCACCTGCGCTACCACCGGGTGCGTCACCTGCTTCTCCCCCACCAGGACCCTTCCCAGAAATGCCTGAGAAGACAAAAGTAAACTGTAGGCTTATATTGACCATGCAAGTGTCTATTTTGAATTCCTAACTTGCTTCACAGACAGCTGGACTGCAAAAAGTGATGAAAAATGCCATCACTAGATTTGTAATTCGGACAAGCAAAATTATCTTAAAATATACAAGAAAAGTCTCCCTTGGAATAGGTAACAGCTCTTGAAGTAAGACTGAATGGCTTTGTCCCATTGGTAAATCTGTTTTGAAGACAGAAAGTACTCAAAGATTATAAACTTCTCGATACAGGTCTCATATTTTATCATTTTTTGCAATGTGTCCAGAAAGCAAGACAGATCCATCTGAGGTACCACCAAAATAGAACAAAGTATTAAAATCCATCAAACTAGTTCCTTGCTCTCAAAATAGTTTTCTTCCATCACTAGTTTTCACATTAATGTATTTTTGGCCTCTAGCACATCTTAAAACGCTGATCTTCAGACATAAAAGTGAAAAAAGAGGACCACCCTAAATCAGTTCTCAGCCCAAAGTGTCAAAGGGCCTGTCCCACTTGAGTGCCCTCAACAGAAAAGTGCCCTCCAATAGGGGAGTGCAGTCGTTGATATTCTCCCTATGAAATGGGACGCCGCATGTATCAAAATCAAAACATCAACGTGTCTGATTTCACCACAGACAAGATAGACTTTATGAAACGTTACATTTTGTATTAAGGAAATTTGCTAAAATTAGGTACAGGACTGCTCCACATCACGCACGTACGCACAGAGACAGACGGGAACATCCGCAGATCACAAAGCAATCTGTCAAATCAATGAACTCTCTGAACTGGATATATGGAAATGTATCCTGAAAATGTATAATGATATATATATATATATATGGCATTTTAAAACTAATAAATAAAACAATAAAAACACCATCCATACATGGATTTATAATAATAACAGGCATCTACGTCTCTGAAGCGCCACTTGGCGAGACTTCACCACATACAGCACAAACACGGGTTTAAAAAAGGAACTAAATTACTCGCACACGTTAAAGCTTCCACACATTCAGCACGTCACTACTTTCACTTTCCCGAACGTTTCATGTATGTTGTGTTCCTTCATTGTGGTGCGGATTTGTCCGACAACTACCTTACCAACTATGCATTATGGGATCATCCTTGCCCACAGGTGTTCTCCAGAGCTCACTTCTGGGCAAGGGGCCTTTTTAAGGGTGTGCACTCGCCGTTGCTCCCTTAGTATTGGGACACCCTACACCCCCTGTGGTGAGAATAGGGAAGGGGCTTTATAGTGACTCACACGATTCTTTGTGCATGTTGGGGTCTGATTTGTTCAAAACATTTGACTTTAACTGTTGAAACTGCTTTACCCAGCGCAGAGTAACAATGGGATGGCCCAGTAAGTCACTTAACAGTTCTTAGGGCTGAGAGCTGATTGGCTGGGTTAAAGTGGTAGTTTCTTTTTCACTTTACTGTCTGAAAAAGCTGATCTATACATGCATGTTAAGAGTTTTGTTCTCTAGTTTTGAGAGCGAGCACCAGTGTTTTCCTGCATTTAATCTGACATAAGTCTTAAATATGTAGTCCTGATTTCACACTCACTGGGCCTCATGTATGAAAATTGCGCAGAAAAAGGTGTACATTTTGGGTGTAGATCCCAGATACGCAAGATCTGACGTGGCATTTATGAACGTGTGAGATACGCACAGATCTGAGCGTACGCACCTGCGGCTGTTGATAAATGCCGCGCTCAAAACCAGCGTATTTATGAAAGTCACGCCTAGAAATATTCAGAAACTGCCTTTTCCACGCCCTGTTTTTGCGACAGGTCAGCAGGAAGTCTGCTAAGAAGCCACAAAAAGCACGCACTTGAGTTTATTCACGTTTTTACAAAATAAATATACGCCATATTATATATACACTTTTTTCCCGAGTGTCTAGACCCACTGCAGCACTCATCTCTCCTGAAATTTCAACGTAAATAAATAAATAATAAATGACCTGAATGAATGAATGAACTATACTACTGGTGTGCGTCGCATCCTATCTTTGCTCTGCGGAGTACAGGGAAGTGCCTGAGACAGTTTTGAGCAAGATCAATTGCGTTTATGGGGCTTTATGCACAAAACTAAGAAAAACCCACATTGCTTTGCCAGAGGTGAATGAGGCAAAACATGTACGGCGCAGGGTCTGCCACAGGTTGTTCATGCATATTTAAAAATAAATATACGCTATATACACTGCGCTATTTATTCAGCTGCGTTTTGAACAAATTTGCAAAAATGTTTTGATAGAAGTGAATAAATAAAGAATGAATGAATTCATATTGTGCAGCGTGGCTTTCATCAATGAAGCGTCTGCAGCGTCTGGTGAATGCACTGAAGCGCTGTACACTTGCGAGAGCTAGAGTGTGCAGCGGGTGGACAGGACAGTGAGACATTTGGAGTGAGAAATACCATAGTCCTTCGTCCATGCGTTAATGGGATGTGTGTCTGTGTGAGGCTTACACATATCTAATGAAAACATACATTGCTTTACCAGATGTGAGGAATACAAATAGCCGTGCGTAATTACGCAGCGCAGAGCCTGCCACAGCAATAGCTGGGTCACACATCCCTGTCGCGTAAAGTGTATTTGTATAGAGCCTTTTACTGTCCAGGATCACAAAGCGCTTCACATTTTAAAAACATACAGATCAAAATAATACACACAGAAGTCAGATTTAAAATCATAGAAACAGAAGAGGCTCCTGATCATGATCTGTGATTTATTCAAACTTTGCGTGTTTCCAGAGTGTTAGACTTTTTCTGATGCGAAAATTCAAATTCAAATTCCGAAACATGAAAACGCAGCTTATAATGTTGCCGGAGTGGGAACATGTTTATTGTTGTCCAAATCTTGAATTTCATGCGTGTTTTGGCGTGTTGTGACGAAGGGTGAGATGAGCGTACACATTTACACCACCTATTGACTTGGTGTAAATTCTGTGCGTATCGTACGCTCACGTCCAGATTGAGAAATGCGGAAAAGTCAACATTTTTTGCGTATGCATCATTTACACCCTGATTTGGCCGTACGCAAGTTTCATACATGAGGCCCATTATGCCTAAAACAACATGTTTTGGTAACAAATGAAAGAATGAAGATTTCACCTTTCCTGCGCATGGCCAGCTTGTTGAAGAGATCTGACATGAAGTCTCCACCGGTCATGGCTGACCCCACTGCTGAGAGAGAGAGAGAGGAGGGAAGAATATTTTTAAAAGCTATTTCTGGAGCCAACGTGTCACACAGAGTCACTCACAGTACGCAACTCAACGGAACCCTTCGCATTAACTGGGCTCCTGATTTTGGGACGCATCAGTCACTTTGGTAAATTATATAATGATTAGTTGCATTGTTTAAAATGGACACTTTTGATGTGTGTAAATATTGTATAACAAAAGTATAGACATTCTGGGCCAAATCATTGTAACAGTAGCAGGAAATGTTAAAGAAAGGAGGAGGCATTTAATGTGCAATTCTACTCCTAGAAATTTACAAATAAAGTAATTCTTTGATGTAAAAATCAGGTTGAGAGGTAGGGGAAGTGGGGCTTATTTACAAATCTCTCAAGACATGTGTAAATAAACTTATTCATCCCCCTGGATGGGACAATAAGATGAACGTGGCCCCTTCCTGCGACATCAGACACCCCACTCTGGCTGCTTTCCAATTCATACAAATATATAGTCATCCTTTCTTCCAAAATATTTGTTTTAAGAGACAAGGAAGGTTCATGGTGTGTCAAGTAAATTCAATTCCATTTATGCCAAAAAGGTGGCTGCTGAGTTAATTCATACAATTGTGAAGTTGTTTGCCATGTTTAAGTTCATTATTATGACAGTTAGCTATGCTTTTAACAGCATTTTATTTTTTCCATTTACAGAAAAGGAATCATTACTTTAACTTAAGTACTGAAGTAATTCCCCCTAGTATATTTTAACCAAAGTACTCCAGACCAAATCTTTGGTTGCCTCGCACAAACTGCTACCTTGCTCCTGTTCTTTCTGCTTCTTCTTCTCCATCTTGCGCTCCTTGACATCACGTAGTTTGGCCTTCCCAATGCCCCCAGCATTGCGGATGGACTCCAGCAAACTGGCCCGGCCGTCGGAAGGCTGCACCACCTCAGAGGGGGCCCCAGAGACTGGGCCTAACAGCCAAGAGAGGTACAAGTCACACATCTAGGGGAATCACATGTAAACCACAGAGGCAGGTGGTGGACCACACGTGGACCATGCTGTTGCTTTCATTTAAGATTAGATAAACTTTATTGATCTCACGATGTTGAAATGTACACGTCACATTTGGCATAGATCGAATCACTCAGGTTGTGCAAAAAGACAGGAATTGTGCAAGACATCACCATTAGCAAATGGAATCTCACCTGTTGTGTCATAAAGTGGCAAAAATATATCATGGCGACCTTTGCACACTTGTAGAGGGTATCACAGTAAACAAGTGTGCAGGGAAAGTAGTCGCAATCCTCTTTCAGATAAAACAAAAAAATCAAGTTTAACAAGTGCATTTTGATGGCTTATTCCCGTGGGCCAATTTACCACGGTGAAGGAAGGGAGGTGGTGCAACGTAATGTTGTAACATTGTTGCAACAGCATTTATTATTTCTATTAAATAGGCTTTGATTTGCATTTAAACTAACATGGAATTTGTTTTGTATTAAGAAATAATGGTACCAAATAATTATAAAAATTGTAAAACAATAACAAATTATAAAAACTGTTTTTCCCCCGATAAAGACAGCGCCCTTAGCATTTGCCTATACGGCCTATGCCACAGGCCGTACCATTTACAACTACTGTAATTAACCCTCTTCTGAAAGGAAATGGACTCCTTTCTAAAATCCTTGGAAAATGAATTTACCCGACAATACTTTACTTTAAGAATCAAGCTTAACAGCTGATACTCTACTTGTTATCCACCCATCCCCCTCAGCTTTAACCGTTGCCAGCTAGCGGGGAAACAGTCTAATCAAAGACATCCAAACTCCATATCCACACACACTTCCTCCAGCTCATTCAGGGGAATCTCGAGGCATTCCCATGCCAGGGAGAGACATACTCCCTTCCACAGGGAGGCATCCAGGCACCTAAACTGGCTCCTTTCGACATGGAGAAGCAGCGGCACTACTCAGAGCTCCTCTGGTGTGACTGAGCTACTTAAAGTGGTTCTCACCCCCGCTCCTCGGAGCTTACGTCACTCACATTTCCTGTTCAAATCTTCCTCTAAATGGGCGTAGCTTGGAGGACTAAAGGGGGCGTGAACGAGACTGGGTCGTTTATATAGCTCTGGGCGGGGGGCTGCTGACGTCAGGTCCAACTTGCAGACGTCAGGTCTTGCTTCAGACGTCAGGTCTTGCTGCCGCGCCAGTGTTGGCGCCAGATGCAAAATTCAAATGTAGTAATACAGGTCGCCAGCAGATGGCGCCTCACAGACGGTTTTAGGCAGAAAGTTTAACTTTCAACTAATTTGCACCAAAGTGACAAAATTATGACCAGGATATGTAGACAACACTATTGGACACTCATTTATACCGTTTATCAGCAAAAAAAAGTGGATTTGAGGGTGAGTTGTCCTTTAAGCCTGGTTCACACGAGACGATTTTTTTCTCTGTGTGAGACCTCAAAAAAAAAATCATGGGTCTAACCATTTTGGTCGTACAGTGTGTGGTGCGCAGCCACACGGCAAAAATCATGCACCCCCCATGCGGTGATCTTAGAGATGCTTGGCTATAAGAGCAACCATGGGAGGCATGAGTAAACAATACCCACCATGGAAAAGACAGTGGTTCCGTGTATGTTTCCAGGACCATACAGGCGCACAGAACCATTCTCTGCTTGTTGTGTGCATGTCTTTGCGTAACTTGTGCACGTAATAAATGTGCACGGTGGCCGAGTGGATAGCACTCTCGCCTCTCAGCAAGAAGGTCTTGGGTTCGAATCCCGGTCGGACCAGGGCCTTTCTGAGTGGAGTTTGCATATTCTCCCCATGTCTGCGTAGGTTTCCTCCGGGTACTCCGGTTTCCCCTACCACTAAAAATATGTACAATAGGTCTGGCATGCGCCTCCTGTTTGGCGACCCCGCTCCCATCTCTGTGTGGAGTGAGAGGACAAGTGCCCAAAAAAATAACAATTGTAAACCGCTTTGTGACTCTTGTCTGTGAAAGGCAGTATATAAATAAACATTACTTACTTACTTACTAAATACACCTATGCAATAAACTGAGCGGGATGATAGCCTCCTGAAATGTCCGTTGCTCCCCTGTGTCCCCTCACAAAACTCGCTAAATTAAAGCTGGGGTAGGTATATTTTCCCTTGTATTAACACTTTATGTTGATCGTGCCCAAAAGTAAATGTCAATAAATCAAACAAATTTAATGACAGCCATTGTCTGACATTATGCATTTCAGACTAATTTGAAATGTCCAATTCTTATCCCTGTAACAAACAGTACTTTTTGTCTGTGTTCATCTCGCTCACTGTGTAATGACATGTTTATTACTCTCCTGTAATAAATACAGATAGATTATTGATCCCCAGTAGGAGAAATTCAGGTGTCCAGCAGCAGAAGACTCATCCAGGTTTGTTGTACAGTCTGACAGCCCAAGGAACAAAGGATCTCTTGAAACGTTCCGTTCGGCAGCGTAGTGACTAGAGTTACCCAGGATGCACTGCATTAGAGCCCTCATCCTTCTCTCCAGCACAGCTCCCACAGAGTCCACACTTCTCCCCATCACAGAGACACATTTCCAGATCAGCCTGTCAAACGGTTACTGTCTCTCGATGTCAGACTGCCCCCAACACGCGACCCCAAAGAACATGGCACTAGCTACCACAAACTGGTAAAAAATATACAACATCTGACTGCTCACATCAAAAGACCTCAGTCTTCTCAAGAAGAGTCTGCTCTGACCTTTCTTATAGAGAGCATTGGCCTGAGCTGACCAGTCCAGTCTGTGATCCAGGTGGTCTCCCAGATATTTTTAGGACTGTACCACTTCGATGTCCTGTCCATTGACTGTGACCTGTTGATGGGAAGGGCTCCTGTGAAAATCAATGATCATCTCCTTGGTCTTGGACACATTGAGAATCAGCCCATTTCTCTCACTCAAATACATGAAACGCATGAAACACCCGGGTGCAAGTTTGTCGAGTAATTTAGAGGTTTTGTATAAGCGTGTTTTGTTGCCTTATGTCACGCTTGCTCGCAAAGCGGCCGTAGCATGTGGCAATCACTGAGGCTTCAGAAAGTAAACAGGAGCTTTGTGATCAGCGGCTGTACTCGTCTGTCTCTCTGTGTGCGTGCGAGCGATATGAAGCAGTCCTGTACCTAGCTAATCTTCATCTGAAATACAATTAAAAATGTTTCACTTTAATAAATACTTTGTTTCATAAAGTCATCTGTGTCATATCTTAAGTGTGTGACGTGGAACACGTTTGCTGCGTCGATTTGCATACTTCCCCTAGATCCAAGGGTGTCCCATTTCTTAGGGAGAATATCCTGCGAGTGCACTCCCCTATGGAAGGGCTCTCTTCTGTTGAGGGAACTCACAACTTGAGTCAAGAAGGAGAAGGAGGCAGCAAATAACAGCAGTGAACAATGGCTAATTCAGAGAGAACTCTTACCATCACAGAGGCAGATATCCAAGAAAGAGTCTCAGGTATAAAGAACTGGAAAGCACCTGGCCCTACCTACTGGCTAAGGACACTTGCATCATTGCATGAGCGCCTAGCAGCCCAAATGAACCAGCTGCTGAGGGATGGTACTCACTCCGAATGGCTAATCGAAGGGTGAACGGTCCTGATCTTGAAGGACCCTGTGAAAGGTGCAGTCCCCTCCAACTACCGGCCAATAACCTGTCTCTCCACAACATGGAAGCTCATGTCATCATTGCGGCTAAGATAAGTGGGCATATGGAACAATTCAAGAGCACAGCACAGAAGGGCATTGGTAGACACCAGAGGAGCCAAACACCAGCTCCTGGTTGACAGAACAGTCGCCCAAGACTGCCAGCCAAGACATACCAACCTGTGCACAGCCTGGATTGATTACCAGAAAGCCTACAACTCAATGCCACACACGGATCATGGAATGTCTGAAGCTGTACAATATCAACAGAGCTCTAAGGGACTTTGTTGCAGACTCAATGGGGATGTGGAAGACCACCCTTGAGGCAAATGGCAAGCCGCTCACACAAGTGACCATCAAATGTGGCATCTACCAAAGGAGATGCTCTGTCCCCACTACTGTTCTGCATAGGCCTCAACCCTCTAAGCCAAATAATCGACTAGACTGGCTATGGATACCGCCTCAGGAACGGATGACATCAAGCTGTACGCCAAGGGCAAGAGAGACAGACTCTCTGATTCCATACCACCAGGATCTACAGCCATGACATCAAGATGTCATTCGGGATCGAGACATGTAGCAGGAGGCAAGGTAGTCTACACAGAAGGGATTTCACTCCCAGAGGGAACAAAGCAGACGTTGAGGACAGCTACAATTATCTTTGTGTGAGGGACTGATGGTGCAGCAGGAAACACCAAACTGTTTAAATAACAAGGCTTTTTAATTAGCCAAAAAATGTGTAGACAACACAAATAAACAAGGCCAAAATCAAAAGACCAACTGAACAGGAAAAACACTGACCTAATACAAGACACACAAGGGGAACATTAAAGCTGGGTGATCAGACCAACTATTAATTAAAGGGGTATAAACAAGACTACACAAAACAAATACATTTACTTAAACTAGTTTAAGAATAAAGTGAAAACTAGCTATAATAATGATAATAGTAATAATATAAACTTACTCATATATACTTAAACAATATAAACTCCCAACAATGAATCTCCCAAAACATCCAATCTTCTGGACCTGCCATGGTTCAGGCCACAGGGTGGAGCCTGGAGGTAACACCCCCAGGTTGAATGGGTGTAGGTGGAGTCAGGAGAGTGAGCTCCAATTGTGAGGGAGGAGTCATCCGCCAAAAACTCGGTATACCACTGGCAAATGGCAACATAGAACAGGTGACGAGGAAAGCGACAACTGCCAAATAGCTCCAGAGAGTAAGGCAGGTCCTAAGAAGCTGACTCACTGGCAAGAACAAGGCCCGGGCAATTAACAGCTACGCCCTGCCAGTGATCAGATACCCTGCAGGAATAATCAGGTGGCCAAAGGATGAGATTCAGACCACAGATGTTAAAACTCGAAAGCTCCAGCACCCTGAGACTGTACGTAAGCCAAGGACTAGTGAGTGTGAGAGCCACTGTCCAGGACGAAACATCCAAACTCCATCACTACATCATTGAGAAGGCCCAGACGAAAGAGGTACTCATTGAATGTCTCAGACAGTGGCGAGATGAAGAGGTGCTGGAGGAGAGCCCATCATGGGAGGACAAGCCCCAATACGGCCTGTACCACCGGCGCATAGCAGAAGTGGCTGATCTCAAAAAGTCCTACCAATGGCTAGAAAGGGCTGGCCTACAGGACAGCACAGAGGCACTCATCATGGCTGCACAGGAGCAGGCACTGAGCACCAGAGCGATGGAGGCCCAGATATACCACACCAGACAAGATCCAAGGTGTCGGTTGTGCAAAGAGGCACCTGAGACGATCCAACACATAACTGCAGGGTGCAAGATGCTGGCAGGGAAGGCCTACATGGAACGCCATAACCAAGTGGCTGGCATAGTGTACAGAAACATCTGTGGAGAGTATGGGCTGGAAACCCCAAGGTCTAAGTGGGAAACTTCTCCAAAGGTGGTGGAGAATGAGCGTGCAAAGATCCTGTGGGACTTCCAGATACAGACCGACCGAATGGTAATGGCAAACCAACCCGACATTGTGGTGGTAGACAAAAGGGCAGAAGAAAGCCGTAGTGGTGGACGTGGCAATTCCAAGCGATGGTAACATCAGGAAGAAAGAACACTGAAAGCTTGAGAAATACCAAGGTCTCAGAGAGGAGCTGGAGAGGGCCTGGAGGGTAAAGGTGACAGTAGTGCCCGTGGTGATCGGTGCACTTGGGGCAGTGACCATGAAGGTGGAGGAGTGGTTACAACAGATCCCTGGAACAACCTCAGAAATCTTGGTCCAGAAATGTGCAGTACTAAGAAGAATACATTACGTTAAGTCACATAACGATGCTTCAGTGGCAAAGTTTCTACTCAATAGGTAAAGTTTGGCATTCTATTTGAAGAAGACTATATTGTCTAGCATAGTGTAAAAAGTGCAAATGTTCTTGGAAAGTGAGCTTGTGTGAGCGAATGTGCATTTTTTTCAAAAAGTCGAGAGGGTTGTTCTTTCCTAAAATTCAGGAAAATCCTCATACGTCGTTAACATCCTATAATGTTTCACAGGAATCTACTGTATACAATACCATTAACAAATCTATTCAAAACCAAACATATTAATTTTATTGAAACAACAACAACGTGCAGAGAAAAAAAAAATTTTAAGTAAAAATGTATACAAGATGCAATGCATTTCAGTTGGTAGAGAGTTGTTTTTTTTACTTGCAGATAAAGTGCATATGCTTACTGTGACCAGCATATGTTGTAAAGTGTCAGACAAGAAAAAAAAATCTTTCAATGATAAAATCCATTCATTTTGTCCATTTGTCGCTTAAACAGGATCTTGTTTTGAATTGCGCTATAGAAAAACTCATTTGGAACCAAAACTTGACATAGTGACAGAAGGGATGGGTACACATATTAAAGTTCCTGATATTAGCAAGGGTGGAGCTAAATATACCTCCAAGTCTGTTTTAATGTGGCAACATGGTTAAAGGGAATCTGCTTGTGTTAGATGTGGGACAGCGTACCTGTAGAGTTGGGGCCTGGTGCTCCTGGGGGTGTGTTTGCAGGTGGGGGGGGCGGAGGAGGTGGTGGGGGGGGCGGGGCAGGAGCTCCAGCGGTGACCGCAGGGGATAAGGCAGGCTCAGGAGGAGGGGGAGGCGGAGGAGGAGGAGGAGGAGGTGCAAGAACACTTGGCTGCAGCTGGAAATCTGAAACACAAAAGCAAAATCAGTTTGGTGATTTCTGAGCTGGTGGTGATTTATACAATTGGGAACTGTCTATTTTGAAATTAAAGCTGCCTCACCTCAAATTATTTTTGAATTCATTACAAAAATCCAATCCATATCCATGCAATGCATTGGGATATACGTCCTTTTGAAGAAAAAGTAGCGCAGATTTGTGCTGGCGTGTCATTTTATTTTGGATTGAGTTTTTGCAAAACAAGGAAGAGAATTTGTTTCGGGACCAGATTGTGACCAATCACAGCGGACCACTGGCCTCCACTTTCTTGAGAAAAGCCACAGGTCTCTCGTTAGCACAGACAGCTGAGGTAAACAAGCGGCAGAGGCCAACCTGAAACTTCCCGTGTCTTCGTTACCGGTTTCTGCTTACACAGCGAAACAACCATCCAAAAGAAAGTCTTGTTCCTCCGCGCTTCCCGGTTCTATCATTCTATGGTCATGCCATCCACGTTCAAATGCGCGATCCATATTGTGAGACGTGAGCTCCGTAAACAATTATCATGTGAGCACAGGCTGAGTGGGCGGGGGGGTAGTGGGGGGCACTAAGTCAGTTAGTGCAGCTTTAATTTATTTTAAGAAAAAGCTAACAAATACATGTGCCTACAGTACATTTGGAACCGCTTTAAAATCAATGTGTGTCTCGGTGCAAGAAGTTACTCTTTGGAATTAATTTACAAATGGTTTAAAAACATATTCAAATATATATATTTTTGAACTGAATCAGAAAGAGAAGTGCTAAAGAAGCCATTGAATTGGCCTGTTTAGGCCTGTGTCTTGTTTTGTCATGTAAACAAAGTCCACTTGCTGCACTGAGGTGCTTAACCAAGAGCATTGGCCTTTTAGCCCGAAGGTCATGGGTTCGAGCCCACCACAAGACTTTCCCCACCGACTCCCACTGACGTCTGCTGTCGTCGTGTCCAAAAGACAATACAGACATAACATTCGTTGACACTAATGCACAATCATCTGATGTTATTCAGCAGCTGTATGGACTGAGGTACAAAAGAGTTCTTAAACCTATTGCTTTTGCAGCAGCTCGTATTGTGAGTAGAGAACATGAGTGGAGTCTCTGATGATGTTCTTGGCCTGTCTTATCACTGACTGCTCAAAAATAGTCTGAGGTGAGATTAGAGTGGACAGTGATACTCCCATGAGCTTCCCGGATAGTTTTTGCAGCCTCTGGATCTGTGATTTGTATTTCACTGTCAGGTTACCAAAACAGCTCACGATTGCGTATCTCAATAAAGATTCAATACTCGCTCTATAGAAGGTCAACATAAAATTTTGGCTCACTCCAAATACTCTAATGGTGCTTTCAGACCGGATCATGCGTTGCGTCGGCTTTCAATGCAAAGTCTGTGGTGACTCAAGTTCGAGCGTCACAACGCACGGACCTCTCGGCATGCACGGACAGACTGTTCAGCAGACACGCACAGACTTGGCGGGAAAGTCAAAGGGGAGGAGCAGGAGCGAAAAATCGACGCCCACAGGAGATGGATTCTGCTCATCCTTTCCTTGGGACGTTCGTGCAACAACCAATCAGAGAGCCGCAAAGTGGTCACGGGGACATTAGCGGACTGAGCGAGCAGACTGAAAATACTCGTAAACAGCCAAAACAGGACCCACACCAGGCTTCACCAGAACTCAAACCAGAGTTGACAATGGGGGACTGTGTGCTTGTGAAAATATGGGTTGTCATAATCCCGTGACCTTATGCAACTGCTTCGAGTGTGTTCGCCGATGCGGAAATACCGTTTAATAATATGATAAAATGTATGGCGCACCTTCGTAAACACATACTGCTGTTGTATAAAGCCCGTGGAAGGTCTCTGAGCAAAGACACGCTGCAAAGCTGCATATTGGAGAAGATCTGTACACAAGAAGCCGCTAGCATAGCTCTGTTGGCATCAGAGCCGGCCGGCTACTTCCGGTACTTCCGGCTCGCGTCAGGACGTTCTGGTGTGAAGTCCTCTGCGTCTGAACGCTAGAGAATGCGCGTCTGGTGAGCGGGGCTTCAGCGTTTGAGCGTTTGCGGTCTGAATGCACCATAAGCCTACGAAGAAAGTACAGCCGCTCATGGATCTTTGCACAGATATTTGACACATGATTGTACCAACACAGTTCATTGTCCATTTCCACCCCAAGGTACCTATATGATGAAACCTGCTCAATTATTTGTCCATGAATGAAGACGTTGCTATGGTCCCCTATTGAGCGAGGATCTACAATTATCTCTTTTGTTTTGTTCACATTAACTTGTAAGTGGTGATCATCACACCATTTAATGAACTGGTCTACTGCAGATGTGACTGAGTCGCCCCCCTCTCCGTGTCGCCGCAGAGCAGCGCCAACAGGTGTGGTAAGGAAGTCCTTACCACACCTGTTCATGGTCGGAGGGGCCAATGGCACATACTGGTTGCCGCCCTTTATTTCAGTGTGCCCCAGGGCAGCTGTGGCTACAGTTGTAGTTTATCACCTCCGTGTTAGGAGTGAATGAATAATGACATGAAGGGTCTTTGAGTGTCCAAAAAAGCGTTGCAAGCGGCACGGTGGCTGAGTGGATAGCACTCTCGCCTCTCAGCAAGAAGGTCCTGGGTTCAAATCCCGGCCGGACCAGGGCCTTTCTGAGTGGAGTTTGCATGTTCTCCCCGTGTCTGCGTAGGTTTCCTCCGGGTACTCCGGTTTCCCCTACCACTAAAAATATGTCCAATAGTTCTGGCATGTGCCTCCTGTACTGGCGACCCCGCTCCCATCTCTGTGTGGAGTGAGAGACAAATGCCCAAAATTAACAATTGTAAACCGCTTTGAGACTCAGATCTGCAGTGAAAAGGCGGTATATAAATAAAAAACTTACTTACTTACTTACTAATTAAAACTGATGCATTATTATTACTAATATTACTACCACCATGGATCTATCCATGCGGTGCGAACGCGGTGAGAAGAGAAGAGACGTCTGGAGGAATGGGAAATCTGTGGGAGCTTAAAACCATGATGATCCAAGATGCCAGGAGGACACTGCCTTAGACATGGACACAGCCACGACAGAACTGAAGCTAAAAGATCAGATTATTAGCTTTCACCCGCATCACGGTAAGAAAACACCACATTCACTCACGCTGCGGATACAGTATTCTGGCGATTGTTTTGCGAGGATTCTGTGTTTTTTGCGTATTTGAGGCCTGTCCCTGAATAAGTTTTGTTAACTTGTGACATTGTAGTTGAACTCGGAGCGAGTCAGAACATCCTCGTTCTCATTATTGTCAGTGTGAAGAAAGTTAAGTATTGTTCAAGTGTGAGTCTGTTGTGTACAAACTACACAATGTGCCTCCTGTTGTTTTAACTCTTCCTTTCGGTGCGTGTGTTTGCGATGCTGACACTTTTCTGTTATGACACAGGTTTCAAGATTTTTGCATAATTATTTTTCAAAAATATTTTGTTTACAAAACTGTGGTGCTCCATCGTTCCTTTTCAAACTTGTGAGTCCACAGTGGAAGCAGCGTTATAAGTAGCACCTGTGAAACTAAAACACGATTCTCTCTTCCTTTTTGTCCCTTATCAACCAGTATATTTCAAGATGGAGCATTGACTTGGATAGTACTCAGCTCTCATGGACATTTATCAGTCACATTTTAACAATTCTAACAACAATTCTAAAACACGGTGGAGGTAAATATTCTTAGAAAGTTCACATTTGTTATTGGTTTTGTTTTTTCATATGGAGCCACGGTAAAAAAATTACACAGAGTGGCTTTAAGGAAAGCTAGGCAATGATGATTTGGATTCTGGAGCTGATCTGTTTAAATATAAATATATATTTGCATGCAAACAGCCCAGGGCAATATGAGATAGATTATTAACACATTCCCAGGATGTGTTAGCTGGAACGTATGTAAAAGTGTAGGAAACGGGGGTCGGGAGTGGGGGGCAGTGTTCCTTGCGCTAGCTGACAGCTTTTGGGTAGAATATGGAAAAAAGCTGAACTGTCAGTTATGCTTGTCGTCTTGTCTGTCTCAGCCATTGAAGTGCAAAGTAAAGTTTTACAGCTAAACCTGAATCACCAGATTCAAACTTTCTATGATCTCCGCCAAAGGGCAATTACCGGGCAGGTTGGTGTCCACGGAGAAGGAGGGCAGCTCTGGGATGTGGTGGGTGTTCCCAGATGGAGCAAAGCCCGGCCCCAGATCCGCACTGTAGGACAGGTCGTCCGCGATGCCTGGCAGGTCGGGCAGGTACATGGGCACCACCAGCTCTGGCACCTGTCCCAGGTTCGGCACGTAGAAGTAGCTCTCTGCAGCCTGAGCATACAGCAGGGGCACAGAGCAACAGCCTCAGTCATTCATGATCCAAGGAAAGCTACTATGGTTAAAATATAATTTCAGAAGAAATATCACACAACACAGTTGAGTTTTAGTTTCCATTTGTTTTGTTTTTGTGAAAGAACAAATGAGTTGTTCTTCAACATATTGAATATAACCCTTAAAATGTTTGCTTCCTAAGTGAAAAATATCAGGATAAAGATGGTTGAAAATAGAAATGACTGGAATGAGCAACACTTCCATCAAGTGGTAGAAATGGCAAATAATTCTGTTTTATGTTTATGCTGATATTCCAGGAAACAGAATTGCACCATTACATCCAAATCTAAAATGTTGCAGTCTGAGGCCTGGACTCCACCGGGCGCGTCTCCGTTGACGCGCATTGGCTACTGTCCGTCAGACGTCCGTAAAACGGACTAGTGGTCAAACCGGCTGCAGCAGCGCGCAACTCTGTCTGTCCGTTTATCAGCCTGCTTTGTTTTTGCAGGAGACACGTTTGGGCATTGTGTGAATGAATGAATATTTAGCTGATGGAGAAGTGTGTGTGTGTGTGTGTGTGCGCGCGTGTGCCCGCAGCGTTTATTATGATCCAGCCTCTTCGTTTGTTTTCTATACTTATTTAGCGCGTCATACACTTTTATCGGACCCAACTCCCCTCTCCGCGACTTTAGGCAACAGGCAGCCGCTATAGTTTTAAATAGAAGAAGCAGTGTGTGATTTGTATGAGCTGTGGCTATGATCTATGCAAAGCACGGCATATTGAAGCATTTAGGACGTCGCGATGGATGAGGCAAAACTTATTGGATAAAGGGGAGAGATAAAGGAGAAAAGAACTCCAGTGTTGTTGTGAGATCTGTCTTTCATAAGTGCTGTGTGTGTGTGTGGAGCTCCTCAGAGGTAGACGGGACAGAGCGAGAGAAAAAAGAGCGAGGTGTATGTAAAGATTAGCGTATTAACATTACGCGAAAAATAAATGGTAGATTTACGATCAGGAAACAATTATTTAAAGTAATACATGAAAAAAATTACACACGTTTGTTAATAATCATTGTCATTAACAAATACTTATAACCAAGGGCTACAGCATATACATGTTTAATAATGTGGTAAATATATTATTCCATTGTATTTTCAATGGAAAACGGACCCGACACGCGTCGACGGACGGAAAAAATAGGATTGTTTCTATTTCGTCTGTCCGCGTCCGTTGCACCCTCCGTTAACGGAATACGTCCGACGTGCGTCAGACGGACGCATGCGGCGGCAGTGGAGCCACTTCCATTCACCCTCATGGAGATAACGGAGACGGAGATGAAACGGACATGTTTGGACGGATCCGTCGTCCGTTTTACGCGCCCGGTGGAGTCGGGGCCTAATTGAGAGCATGTTCTTGTGCATAACCACCAACACTGATTTTCAGGAGAAGAATTTTTAGACCGATGGGGAGAATTTGAATTCATTTTTTCCAATTGGACAGCTGAGAGTGAGCATGGGCAGGTGGAATATGTTGTAGAATTGTATTTCAATATTTCAAGCAGGTGACAACACAACTCTGAGAAAGAATTTTAATGTTCAAATGCTGTCCCAGATCATTTTCAACAGTGGTGAGATTCACAAACCTGCCATAATTTTTTGTCTGAAAGTATATTGTTCAATATCTCCAGCATTTCTAGACATAATAATTAGACCACAGTTGATATAGATTATGTGGAAATGTTATGGAAATATTAGAGATATAATTTCAAAATAAGACTAGAAGTTTGACATTTGTTGGAATGTTGTGATGTCAAAGCAACCTATTGGTGCTTGATTTGACATTCACTTGAACTAGTCTTGTGTTGTCTGTATTCAGCAGGACTAGGAGATACATGTTAAACTGTGTGTTGAGAGGGACCTGGCGCTCCAGCTGCTCCCTCTTGGTGATGGACAGCGGAGCATCAAAGGGCTTCTCTTCCTTCTCGGTCTCCAGGGCGGTGTGCGTCTTGGTCACGGCGCCAGCCAGAGGGTCCAGCAGCACATACTTCTTATACCTTCAACAAAACAGCCAAACAAGAACCCATTTAAAGGGTTGCTTTGATGTTTATTTGTACACCTCCTTTCTACCGTAGAAACAGTAGGAGTGGACGGATTGTCATGTTTGGTTTTTCCTAGAAGCAGCCAGTAAACAAGTTCCCTGGGCGAGGCTAAATAAACTCTCTGATAGCAACAACCTAGCAATCTATGAGCCAATCAAAAGTAAAGCTAGTATTGTATCTGGATTTTAAAGACATAAAATAAAAACACCAGGATTATTGTAAGACCTGAATGGTGAGTTCTAAGGCTGGGGTAACGGACAATTTTTTTCATAATTAATACAGGCCATTTGTTTCAACAAAAAGAGTTTTGTAAAAGTAAATGATGTGAATAAATTAGACCTCAGCCGTATACGTAATTACGCATATGTTTTGCCTCATTCACCTCTGGCAAAGCAATGTGGATTTTCCTTAGTTTTGTGCATAAAGCCCCATAAACGCAATTGATCTTGCTCAAAACTGCTCATCCACTGCCCTGTTCTCCGCAGCAGAGATAGGATGCAACACACATGTGGGAACTGGTTCATTCATTCATTCATTCATTTATTATTTATTTATTTACTTCTAAATTTCAGGAGAGATGAGTGCTGCAGTGGGTCTAGACACTAGGGAAAAACGCGTATATATAATAGAGCGAATATATATATTTTTCTAAACGTGAATAATCTCAGAAGTGTGTGTTTTTTGAGGCTTCCAAACAGTCTTCTTAGCCGACTTCCTGCTGACCTGTCGCAAAATCAGGGCGTGGAAAAGGCAGTTTCTGAATATTTCTAGGCGTGATTTTCATCAATACACTGGTTTTGAGCGCGGCATTTATCCACAGCCGCAGGTGCGTACGCTCAGATCTGTGCGTATCTCACACGTTCATAAATGCCACGTCGGATCTTGCGTAGATTGAATATACACCCAAAATATACACCCTTTTCTACGCAACTTTCATACATGAGGCCCAGTGAGTGCATGTGTATATGTTTCTACTAGTTTTGTTTATAAAATTTAAGAAAAAGTCCCATAACAATATTGGATAGTGGATTTACTGCTCCAAAAAGAAGGCTTTTGGCATTGTAAATAAATATTACAAAGAACAAATATACGGTATATTAGACTTATTGTTGTTCACTCACTGCACAAAGAGCAGGTGTTATGCTTTTTTAACCTTTTAAGATCTAGCGAGTGTCCTGAATTTCGAGAGACCCCATTTGTTATAATCCACTGCTCCACTGCCAATCGGAAGTGTTTTTTGAAGTGATATTTAGTCATGTGTGATCCACAGTTGTAGATCCATTGGCTTGTCACAACATTTTAAGGACGTTTGCCATTTTTAGAGACTATCCAGTAATTATCTATCATTTACTTACATATTTCTAAACATTGAAACCAAAGAATGCATTAGGGTGAAAACACCCAAAACACAAATACAACATTTCTCTATCAGTTTCACAAACCTTCATTGTCATTGGTCCAGCTTTGGTTCAATCTAAATAATAACTGAACTCGGTCCAACAAGATTAATTTGGTCTGATTCAAGTTATTTATTTAAACCACCACATTAATTAACAGTTAACATGTAGAATAACTGCACAATTAAAAAATGTCATCTACAAGGTACTAATATCGAACCCCAATGCTTTCCGATAAAAGTATTCCTTTTTCTCAAAAATACCATCGTTTTGAAAAATAGCCACAAATGCAAAATATGAGCTTCAAGCGAAGCCTAATAATAATTAAAACCCTTAGTTTGAATTATTGATACCGAGTTTACCAGCACTTAACCCTTTCACCATCTCTATCACACTTATGCAGTCACACTAACACTGCTCTCTCACAGGTTCTCAGTGGTGTTGAAGAGCAGGAGCGAGCTGACGGATGAGATGTTCCGTGGGAGACTGCCCAGGCCCTCCTCGGTCTCATCTTCAGACCTCTTCTTGTTGTTCACGCAGACGGGGAAATACGTGAGTTTCTCCTGGGACAGAAATGCGTAATGCATAAGAAGCAGATATGGAGAGTGTGTGGCTGAGTGGAGGAAGGTCCTGGGTTCAAATCCTGATCGGAACTGGACAATTCTGAGTGGAGTTTCAGCGTAGGTTTCCTCAGGGTGCTACGGTTAACCTCCTGACCACTAAAACATGTACTATAAGGAAATATCCTCCAGCTCCGCTCATCCTGACCAAGCTGAGTATGAAAATAATAATAATAACAATAGCTATACTAAACAATCAAGTATAACTAACTAGCAAGCTATGACAGGGTGACCTACATGCCATAGCAGGGGCAGATTGTAAATAGGAGCCTGAGAGAAATGAGCAAAGTTTCATCTGTGAGCACTTCATTACTGAGCTCACAGGTTAGCATTGTCCATCTGTATACAGTGCATGTACCAAACACACGTGAGAGAATATTATTCTAAAAGCCTCAAGTGCTCTCACAATGCAGAGACAAAACTGTATAGTTGTAGTTCCTGGGAGCTGTAAATTATGCCTTTCTGTGGAAGAAGAAAATTGATTTGTTTGTCGTAGCTTTTAGAATGAATGCTTGGAATGAGGGACAAATAAAGGTTCACTTATCTCAAATGTACACTGTGAGAATGTACAAGCTTGGCTGATCAAATGCAGAATGCATAACTAATTCTCAGGAACATGGAGCAAGTGTGTGAATGGAAAAGTATTAGGAAAGAATTCCATATCCTACGGAAGCTTGTTAGGTTCACTTGTGAGTGTGTGTTTTTTTCCCGCTGGTATCATGTTATTTCATGATACACAACTATCATGTTATTTCATGATACCAATTTATCATGAAATTTCAGGATACCAGTTTATCATGAAATAACATGATACTGTAGATACAGAAGAAGAAGAAGCTGTCAGCTTCTGATAAATTGGTATCATGAAATAACATGATAGTTGTGTATCATGAAATAACATGATAGTTGTGTATCATGAAATAACATGATAGTTGTGTATCATGAAATAACATGATAGTTGTGTATCATGGAATAACATGATAAATTGGTATCATGAAATAACATGATAGTTGTGTTTCATGAAATAACATGATATTTATCATGTTATTTCATGAAAGTATCATGAAATAACATGATACCAGCGGGGAAAAAAACACACTCACAAGTGAACCTAACAAGCTTCCGTAATATCCGCCTGCGTGTCTTTTCATAATATGTTTATATACTTCCTCATAGAGTAGCACTTTGTTGTAAAATGACTGAAATGACTTGAACTAAGATTCATGAAATGTTGGTTACTACATGAAAATAAATCTACCAGACCTGTCAAACTCAGGCTGACACCATTTTCTATTAATTTGCAGCATTGATGGTAATGAGTTATACTTTCAGCTCCCAACTAACTCTTTTTACTCTGCCCCTGACTAAAACAAATGTTGTTAAGCTGAGGAACACAGGTCCTGAAAATCCGATTTTGGGCCGATTTTTTTTTTACACATTGTTAATAAATGACCAGGGCTATATTTTATCACTAAGAACACTGGAAGTGACCAGAGAGATGAGTAAAGAGTTGTGCTAGTGACCAGTGATCACAGCTCAACTCTAACTAGTAATTGAGTAATCTTGGAAACTCTGAAAACAATCCCACAACGAAGAGACCAAGAACAGCAATGTCATTGTAAATGAGCTTTAAATAAAAATACCAATAAATATATTTATGCTTACAATTTTCAATCTGATTATTCAATCAGAGAATAGAAAGAGAAAGTCATTTTGGAAGTCAGTTGTTAGGTGAAATAAAACAAAATGGCACCACACATCTCTTTATCTGAAGGTAGATACAAAATAAGTATTCATACACAACACACAGAGTTTGTACTGTTTCTAGCCTAGCTCCAGCAGTTGGATTTTCATCCGTAATCAGTCCTTTAGGACAGCAGAATTCTGCCAACTAAAGGTGGATTGTAACTGTAATGACTTTATTATCTTTGTCATGTTTTGCAAATGTTTGTTATTATTGCTGCAATTGCGGTCTCCAAGCTCACCTGAATGCACGACACTAAGCTTTCAATTGGATTCACGGATTCACCATAACTTGTCATCCCAAACCTACCTGAATGGCTTTCTCATCAAACGGTCGGATCTTAGACTGAATCCGATGTCTTGGGCGATGCTGTGAGGAGGGGTCCGAGGCGCCTCTGAAAATGGAGGTGTAATCGTGCAGTCGGTCCGGGGCTGGGTACTTGGCACTGGAGAAGACCTGGAGCAGTCAGAACAGAGCAGAAGAATATGGACCAAGTAATATGTAATAGTATATAGGGCTGCACGATATTGGAAATTAGTGCGATATTCGATATAAGTGTTTAGTATTTTGATAACAATATTATTGCGATATTTTTGTCTTTCACCTAAAATTGCAATCTGCATTGAAACGCTGTTTTGCTGTCTTCAATAAATAAATAAAATATTTTTTTAATCACAGATATGTTTGATATGGATACCGCACGCGCCAATATCGAGATAATGTGGGAAAGTGGACTTTTAAAAGACTTTTTTAACTGCTTTTATTTTTGTGATGTGTTTTGTGTGTTTTTATGGTTTTAATGCATGTATTTTATCACTGTTCCCTGGACACTTCCCCTAACCCGCACCTGTTTTAATCAAGACCTTTTAATTGGGGGCGGGCACTGCAGGACAGAGGACACAGGACAGAGAGAGAGAGAGAGAGAGAGAGAACACGGAGGACCAGAGGAGGAGGACGCGGGACCGGGCCAAGGACGAGGACGAGCACCGCCAGCCAGAGACCACGGTGCACTGAGGCCAGCGGTACCGGCACCGGTAAGGGGGGCGCGCATTGACAGCGCATGAAGGCGCGTGCGCGCCCGGGCTATGCCCAACGACGACCGGGATGTGCCGGCTCTCCCCCGCGGGTGCCCGGTGCCGACCCGTGGTTGGCTAGTGGCTGGCGGAACTGCGGCCCGGTCCCGGGTGAGAAGAGCGGAGGACAGTGGGGACGGACTCTGGGCTTTTAATCATCTTTTATGGATCCTTTTGTAAATATTTTATTACATTTTATCCCCTTTTTATCCAGTTTCCCTTTTTATGATCACACCCCCTCAACAGACACTTTTAAACCTGTGACAATAACAATACGTTTTCAATATATTGTGCAGCCCTAATAGTATATATGTAGACTCAGACCTCTCCTGTCTCAGTATACATGCAGACTCAGACCTCTCCTGTCTCAGTATACATGCAGACTCAGACCTCTCCTGTCTCAGTATACATGTAGACTCAGACCTCTCCTGTCTCAGTATATCTGTAGACTCAGACCATTCTCTACAGCTAGTTATGTTAGTTAAGAAACATAGCTACTAATTATTTGTATATAGTGTATATATTGTGTGTGCTCCCTGTGTGCTCTTACTACTGTCCTATATGTGCGATGCAACATCGAAATTTCCCCACTGTGGGACGAATAAAGGAATTCTTATCTTATCTTATCTCAAATACAGGACTAGCCCGGTAATCCCAGTTGTTCTGCTCCCATGTAAGTGGTCAGAGTGTGTTGCAGGTGCAGAGTACCTTGGTGGCCTTCTTGCTGCCTTTGATCTTGTCCACTCGAGCCTGAGCCAGTCTGATCCGGTCCGTGACGCTCTGCAGCTGCTGTCGGTTCTTCTCCACACTCTCAGACACTCTGTAGGAGAGCACAGGCAGAACATTGAGCTCACACAAGGACAAGACAAAGTGAAACTGCTTGAGGTCATTCTTATAGAATAGATTACATTCAGACTAAACTGTTTCATCATTAGAAGTAGACATTTGTGAATCCTTCCTGAGGATACATCACAGTGTATTGAATAAGAAAGAGGATAATTTAGACAAATATGGTATATGGTATAGCAAAAAGCTGCTTGTGCATTTGTGTAACTGGTACCTTTGGAAAATGTCTGTGGATATGGACTCCAAGTAAACTAATGCGTCTGCTATCTGCAGTATGGCCTCCTCCCGCCTCACATCCGGCTGGATAAGTGGCACAGAGTACACCTGCCCCTCCAGGGAACGTTTCTCACTCATCCTGGAACAGAAGCATGCATGTGATCACAACACTCAATTTGCATGTGAAATTATATATAGGAGTCTATGTCCCTAAGAGGACTGGGCACATATAACATGTAATATGCCTAGTCTATACATTGTGTAACGCAGCCTAAATGTGCTGAACAAGTGTATTTGACTTTACTACATGTAATAATCAAATATTCCATGGCACTTTTTGGAGGCTAAAAGATCCTTTACTCATGACACATTGACGGTGGTCAGTGAATTACTACTGTAGCTATAGCCTCTCTGGGGCAGACGGAAGAGACTGCCCCTGCCCACACACAAACACCAGATTCATACAGGGCAATGTGGGTGAAGTGTCTTCCTTAAGGTCACAACAACATGAGGACAAAGATCGTACACAGACACAGCCCGATAATACATCCACGACATAGCTTTACACTGCTGCTGGATACCCCCCACCAGCATCTGATCATCACATGACCGTGTAGTGGACACAAAGTGGGTCAGGGTATTTAAGAATTTCGTAGATGCCAGACACAATTAGCGACCCGGCCATCTCCCTTTAACATATTCTAATTCTCACTTCTTAAATCTTTGCCACTTGTGGAAAGCAAATTTGTGTTCAACCCTTAGACTGTAGTTATGAGTTGAACCGATGGCAGCTAACCTCACCTGACCATGGACCATGGGCTAAGTGTCCCTTCGACAGTGAAATGTGGAGCCCCAGGCCTGGTCCTCTCGGCTATACTACAGGTCCATGCATCACAGATCCATGCTTTAGGCTTTATTCACTTTATCCGCGTCAACAACAGCCTGTGGAAATACATCACTGCAACTTCCGTGTTTCTTTGACACGTGACCTGCTCTGGTGCTTTCAAGTGCTGACATACAGCTCGTATATTGCAACTTCCGTTCCTTCATCGCCCGCTCTGCCTCGATGTATCGTCTATACCCCATAGACTGTAAATATTAATACCCACACGATTAAAGCCAAGTCATATTGATAATAAACATCAAATGAATAGTACATATTATGTAATGTTACATTTGAAATGCTTTTCAATTCCAAAATTCAACTGATTCAAGTGTAATGTTTGTGCGCACAAGATTCATAAGACCTCAACTAAAGACTTGGATTTATAGGATGTGATGGACAGATGAATGAATTTTTTGTGGTAATTTGTGGATGCTCAATTACATAGAGAGGAGGTGAGGGACAGGAGGGTGCTAGCCAAAGCCACCTCCATCATGAACAACACCTCCCACCCACTGCACAGGACTGTAGAGGAGCTGAGGAGCTCCTTCAGTGAAAGACTGAGACACCCTCAGTGTAGGAAGGAGCGCTACCGCAGGGCCTTTATCCCCACCGCTGTCAGACTGTACAACAAGTCACTTTGTCACTGTATAAGACTGAAAGAACCTGCACTACTATTGACACTGTTTCTGATTGCCACTCTTTAAATTGACACTTGACACTTTTGTAGTACATAATATATCCTGCATTTAACATGTTTGCACATTTCTTTCTTTTTGCACAATCTTGAGTGTTCTATCCATGCCGATGTGACATGTAAATTTCTCCTTTGTGAGATAAATAAAGCATATCTAATCTTATCTTATCTTATCTTATATTAAATGCAGGGTCACCTTTGCAAAGATGATACCAGAGAACTAAATGGTTTTATTATTTCATATTATGTTTTGATACGTTTGCAATGTGAGGCAAGGCAAGGCAAGGCAGGTTTATTTGTATATCACAATTCGTACACAAAGTAACTCAAAAAGCTGAACAAAACAAGATAGAAACAATCACACAAGGCATTAAAAATCAGATTAAAAATATAAATTCCTCAGTTGTATGCATAGCTAAACAGATTTAAACATTGTCAGACAAGAAGCCTGTCTCACATTTTCAGGAAGACTGTTCCAGATTTTAGCAGCATGAATCGGAAAAGCAGCCTCCCCATGTTTAGATCTGACTCTGGACACAAGCAGGAGTCCCGTCCCTGTGCTCCTCAGAGTCCTGGCTGGTTCATATGGGACTAACATGTCACTAATATATTTTGGTGCGAGGCCATGGAGAGACTTGTACACAAGCAGAGCTGTTTTAAAGTCTATTCTCTGAGCCACAGGAAGCCAGTGCAGAGACCTGAGGACTGGACTAATGTGGTCATACTGCACTGTACCGCTCTTTTAACAGTCTTTTGTGTGCACCAAGTGAACTTGTATTTAGTAAACTGAAGAAATGTATGTAGATTTTTATTCATGCATGCCTTTGATTTTATTCTGCTTTAACTTGTTTGCACCAAGAGCCAAAGCAATAAAAGGATTCTCAAGCTGCTGCATTTTGAATGTACTGCAGCTGTTTTACAGCCTGTTTGGACAGACCTGTGAGCAGGCCATTGCAGTAGTCTAACCTACTGGAGACACAGGCATGGATAAGAATCTCCAGGTCTGCTTTATATGTTTTTGATCCTGGAAATGTTTTTAGGTTGTAAAAGCTGCTGATGTTACTGATTTGATGTGGCCATTAAAATTCAAGTCCGAGTTTATTGTTATCCCTAGATTTCTGACCTGGTTTGATGGTTTTAGGGAGATTTACTGTAGGTGACAGATGACGCTCTCTTTTTGTTCTTGGGGCCCAAAGAGAATAGTTTCCGTTTTGTCTGTGTTTAGCTGAAGGAAGTTGTTTTGCATCCACTCACTGATCTGTTGGATACAGTGAAGGAGTGAGTCCACTGGTCCTTGTTCTCCTGCAGTCAGTGAGACATAGATCTGAGTGTCGTCTGCATAGTTGTGATAGGACACTTCGTTTCTGAGTATTAACTGATCTAACGGCAGCATGTAGAGATTGAACAGAAGAGGTCCCAGGATCGACCCCTGTGGTACTCCACAGGTCAGGGCCATATGATCTGAGACACAGTTTCCAATCTCAAGAACATACTTCCTGTCTTCAAGGTAAGACCTGAACCAAGTTAGAGCAGAATCAGCAGCACATCGTTTGATACCTTGACGAGAGCCGTCTCAGTGCTGTGGTGGAGTCTAAAGCCGGACTGAAACATATCAAATGAGTTGTTGATAATAAGACATTTAGTACGCTGTTGGTAGACAACTTTTTCAAGGACTTTCCCGTTAATGACAGATTTGAGATGGGACTATAGTTGTTAAGTACTGTGGCATCCAGACTGCTCTATTTTACAAGAGGCCTGATGACTGCAGTTTTCAGGGCCTTTGGGAATGTTCCAGAATGAAGGGACATGTTTACTATCTGTGTGAGTGAAGGTAACAGACTGCTCGGAACAGACTTCAGAAATCTAGAGGGTAGTACATCCAGGAGGCTTGTGATTATGTCTTGGACATTTGTATCATCTACAGTTGCGAAGTGAGTTAGTTTAAAGAGCCTTTCTGGCTGTTGGATTGTTATGTGTGGATTGGAGACAATGGTCAATGTCATTGAAAAAATTAGCAAACTCATTACATTTACATTTGGAAGTTTGTTCTAATGGCAGCTGAACAGGGAGAACCATCAATCATTTCAGAAAAATACATTTATCTCGTTTTAAGTAGCATCTGATTAAACTCGCACAACTTATCTTTGAAGATCTCGTAATCAACCTGGAGGTTGGACTTGCGCCACTTCTACTCGGCCCTCCGGCACTCTCTCTTTTGTGCCCTGACCGAGTCTGCTTTAGCCCACGGTTCTTCACAGGAGCACAGGAACAAGCTGTAAATGATCTATACTCATAGCTGGAGTTTTTGTCTTCACAATAATGCACTTTGGTATCTAGCTTGGGTAAATTCCAATGTGATCTCACAAAAAACTTCCCAAGGATGCCACGAGCGTTCGGAATCCGAGTTTGTGTGTTCGGATATCAAGACGACCGTTCGTAAAATGACTGCCGTTTATAAGACAGTAATCTGCGTCTTCGATTTGTAGTCTCACATCAATCAAGTTCTGAGAAAGTTGCACAATATATTATTAATTTGTATTAATATTTGTTGGGTCAATTTAGTGGCATAGACTTCAGAGAAGTATTGGTAAATTGCAGAATAGTTTCTGTGTGAAACAAGATCATGTATGGAATATATTATTGAGCTCGATGTGCAACAGTTTATTTTAATTAAAGGCAATTCAATTGTAATAAAAAATTTTTGTAATTGATTAACTCAGAAAATCGTTTCAGCCCTAGAACTAGACACTCTTTGGGCTGAGAGCTTATTGGCTGAGTGGTCCTCTCAAAGATTCAAAGATGTGACAAATAAAATAAAAGATAAAACACATTTGTCACGAGGAGAGGTGAATGAAGGACTCAAAATGCAGGAATGCCAGAATAAAAAAGATTTAATGATGAAAAAACAAAAGTGCAGATGAGAACAAACTCAAAATCCAAAACCACAAGGAACACGAGACCAGTAACGGAACGAAAACAGACAAAGACATGAACAAGACAATGGACCAGCAACAAAGGGAGAAGAGCACAGGGTACATAAATACACACAGAGACACAGGTGAAACACATCAGGGCGGGGCAGACAATCAAGACTGGGGACAACAGGACAGGAAGTCAAACTAAAACCAAAGCACAGAGAACTGATTACAAAATAAAACCAAGTATAAAATACGTAAAAATCCACACCATGACAACATTATGTGAAAATTAACTAGCTAACTGTTTTTAAAGCGAGTTACAGTTACCTTATGTTTATTAATTAAATTCAATCGATTCTTGTATAGCCCTAAATCACAACAGAAGTTATCTCGGAGGACTTTACACAACCGTTGAAATCGCCAACACACATCAGAGAATCAAACAGTTCAAAAACAATCAATACAATAGAAAACACATTGGTCCATAGATGGCCGATGTCCATATGTGTTGATTAATGTCTTTAAATGTTGTAGAATGATGAGCGTCCTGGATCATCATCACTGTCCTTTTTGTTAGATCCAGTCTGAAAGACCCTTCTGCATCTACAAGGAATAACTCTAAAAGCCAGAGGGAAAAGCTGAGAAACCTCGGGCACGGACGGGCCATAGATCCAGCAGCACGGATTGATTTTTTTTTTTGGTTTGAAAGTTAGGTACCTCCGCTTTAATGTTGCCTTCTTGAGCACTATATGAGCAGTAACCACAACCATCGGTAGAGCGCGCTGTTGCTTTGCACAGGCTCCCTTCTCCCCTCCTCCCTCCTTCTCTCGGTCACATCTGGACCTCCGCTCCTGTCTCCTCATCCCCGCTCAGCGCAGTGAGACACAGGGAGAGAGGCTGGGAGGGCATCGGCTGCTAATCACTCACAAGGAGCCGAGGAGACCAGCAGCGTCCACTTACACCATCTCCTCCATCTCCTCCAGCGGTCTCTCTCATCTGCCCCTTTTAGATTTATCTTATATTCCCGCTATGATGATGAGTTCCAGCCTTTTGCAAAACCCAGTGCAGGCTATTCTGTACCTCCGGGAGCTGACCACGATCGTGCAGAACCAGCAAAGCCTCATCCAGACGCAGCGCGCACGGATAGAGGAGCTTGACCGACGCGTGGATGAGCTAATCGGGGAGAATAGGCACCTACGAGACGTGAGGGTGATCCAGCAGCAGCAACAGCAGCAGCAGCTTCCATATTACCATCACTTGCACCATTTGGACACGACCTGCCATCACCACCAACCTACCCTAGAAAAGCCAGAGGACGCGCCTGATGCTGCAGCCCCCGCGGTGGAATCGTCGTCTCCGCAACAGCTGGACCCCGGGAATATGCAACTCGTCCCCGCGGAGCCGTCCACCGTGTCCCCCGTGGAGAGCGACCCGGACAATTTGGGTAACTGCGGGGGTTGTAGATCCTTGGTGCCCATGACCCCTACCACACTATGTCGCTCCTTGGCTCTGGCAAGGAAATCTGAGTGAGTTCTATTACGCATGCATTTTACTTTATTATAGTATTCTGATAGTATTTTACAAAACACATTATGTTCACATGATGTATTTTCTGAAAGTCAAATCTGTGACACGCTTTGCAAATAAACTGGTGTATTTTAACGAGATCGGATTGCTTGGACATTACGTAACAAACAGCTGTAGGCCCACACCGTGTGTGACGTGTGTGTGCGTGGAAAAGAAAAAAAAAATGTGCATGCATATTATGGTTGAGCATTGTGGAAAAATATCGAATGGCGATGTGTTTTGACAAGCATCGCAATTTCGGTTCGTTCTTTCACTGTTTTACAGAAAGGTCACATTTTTATAGTCATACATTTCTCTATGAATACATCTTGTGAGTCTGAGTTTATTCCTATCCTTTCCTCACATCTTTTCATTCAATTTCAAGCCCTGAAGAGAGGAGAGTGTAGTTTAAATACAGTACAGAATATATATTGAGGGGGAAAAGTGTCTCTCTCAACAATGGCAAACATAATTGCAAGCATAAAAGTTCAAACAAGACACAACATTATGAATCTATGAAAGTTGATTACTTTTATGTTTGCATATTCATGTGATTGTTTATATTTTGGTTCATATCAACCAATATATAGTTGGCTACAATACATTGTTCAACAACATGATACATCATACACTCGATACAGATACAGTACCTACTTTCCGTTATGCATCTAATTTTGGTATTATGCATCTGGGATTTTGATAATCTTGCAGTTATAAGAATAATAATAATGATGCATTGGTCTTATATAGTGCTTTTCTGGACACTCAAAGACACTTCACATGTCATTATCACCACTGTGTATGGAGTGAAAGAATAAAGCACTACTGTAGCCAGAGCTACCCTGGGTTGTACCAACAGAAGCAAGGTGCCCTGCACAGCTTCAGAGGTCTGATGGGAGTTGGTCTTTGCATGCAAGTATGGCTACTAAATTGAGCTGAAAGAGTTTCCATCCTAGAGTGTGGGAGCTGACAGTAGCTAGCTACCCCCTCCCAAGTAGCTCCCCAAAGGAAAGAAATGTAAAATCATCCCCTCAATATTACAAAATGTATGTTTCCCATTCATACAATTGTTGTAAACATTTCACTTTGAGTGCTAATACATGGATTGTAGATGTGTTGCGGTTACACACCCATAAAGCAATCTAATCCAAGTCACCATTATACAGAATTGAGTATTTTTTGTCCTGAGGAGCTCTCTGTGGGAAAAAAGTTTGGAGCCTTTACACATTGGGCTTTGGTGTTGTATGGTAGGACGTGGTTGCAACACTGGGTAACTGTCCATGGTACTGATCGTCATTACGACTCAGATCTGAAGGTTCTCTGGGGACATGTAGAGCCTCTGATCTCACAGCTTTCCACACACACACACACACACACACACACACACACACACACACACACACACACACACACACACACACACACACACACACACACACACACACACACACACACACACACACACACACACACACACACACATACACATACACATACACATACACATACACATACACACACAGACACACAGGAATTTCTATATTCGTGGGGGGCGTATGCATGAGACGAAGCTGTTTGCTTATGATTTACAAAATGAGGCATATGACATCTATCTCTTTTGAGTGTCCTGCAGGGGTGACAGTCATGGTCTACCATAGATGTTAGTTTGTCCAGGACCCTCCTGGACAAACTATTTGTAATATCAATATTCTCTTCAGGAAGTTACATTCAACATAGTTGTAGAGGTCATTTTAAAATTGCAGATCTGAGACAGAATTTACCATGTGGAGATGAAAATTAAGTTAGGTGAGTTTGGTCTGAGTTTGGGTAAGTTTGGTCTGTAAAATGCGCTATATAAATAACATTACATTACTTTCCATCTCCACAATAATAGTTTGCCACCACCGTGTGCAGATAACACAGTGAACAGATAACAAGTGTCCTACAGGATACATTTTAAAATTCTGGTTTTAATCTTCAGAGCTTTGCACGGTCAGGCTCCGTCTTACATCAGTGACCTGATCCAGCCATACACCTCAGCCAGGGCCCTGAGGTCTGTGGATCAGAACCTCCTGATGGTCCCACGCACTCGCTTCAGGACCAGAGGAGACAGGTCCTTCCAGGCTGTTGCTCCCAAGCTTTGGAACGTTCTCCCGCTCTCTCTGCGTTCTATAGAGTCTGTTGAGTCCTTCAAAAGTCAAACTGAAAACCCATTTATTTGTTCAGGCTTTTGCATAAGTTTGTCTTGCTGTTTTTTTTGTTTTTTTTTTTACATGGTTGACTTGGCCTTTAAAAATATGTATGTCTAATTTATATAATGTCTGTTTTTATATGGTCTGTGAAGGGCGCTATATCAATAAAGTTTACTTACTACTTACTTACAAGCGTTATATAATGTATGTAACAATGCATTATTATAATCATTTCAAATCATTATATATTGTATATGTCTCAACCACATGCTGTGGCAATAATAATACTAAGTATCATTTAATTGAGTCTTTACGTGACAGCTCTAATCCAAGTTTGTGTTTAGAAGACACTAGTGCTGTGAAAGTCTCTGATGTGTGAACTGGAACAATTATTCAACAATAGATTTTGTGCAATTGGAAATCACGGAAATATTTTCTCTTTTCATGTTTAAACATTTATTTAAGAATAAAATGTTGTTACTGACATCACCTTTATGTCTTCAAAGGGATGTAGTAGGACTGTTAACTGGCATTAACCCTGAATGAAGAGGTGCAACCTTAACTCATACACAGTTCTCTATTCATCTCTATTCAGCCTTAGGCACATTCAGATTCAGATTCATTTTGTTTGCCATTTGCAGTTAAACCTTAGATTTGCAAAAAGTCCCCAGTGTGCACAAGACAAGTACATAAATGAACAAGGTTAAAAGTACAGAAATAAAACTAACTGAAAAAGTGCAGGAAACAATTGACACTGAAATTGATCAAATAAAACAGTTTCAATACAAGATTATTAAGGTGCTTTGTTTAAACTGATAACAGCTTGAGGAAAGAAGGCAGCTCACAGCTCACGGTCCTCTTTGCAGAGCAGAGCACCTATTTTAGAGCTCTCCGGCTGTGATGTTTCCAAACCACACAGTCACTGAACCAACAAGCAAACTACCAATGGAAGCAGCGATAAAAGTTAGGCAGGATATTAGAGTTTGTGGTAAATTCTCTAAGTTTCCGCAGAAAGTAGAGACGCTGATGAGGTAGTTATCTTTACTCTGAACAACACTTTGAATTTCTGCTCAATAAAAGGATTCATTATTATCACTGATGATGGTGCTGTATTCAGCGTATTTAATGATCAAGTCAGAGTCAGAGGAAGACACACAATTGTGAGTGTACAAAATAATGAAAACCCCTAATTGCAATATTAGCAACACAACGTTTGATAACACGTTGTGTTCTACTGTGGATGAATTACTTAACTCTGTCACCTCTAGTGTTTTGGATGTTCTGGACACGATTGCTCCTGTAAAGGTCAAAATTGTTACAAATAAGCAAAAGGCGCCATGGACAAAAGCAGACTCTGTCAGGGCACAGAAGAGAGAGTGCCGGAGAGCCGAGCGGAAGTGGCGAAAGTCAAATCTCCAAGTTGACCATGAGATCTTCAAAGATGCATTGTGCAAGTTCAACAGTGTGCTACGTAGAACGAGGGAAACTTATTTTTCCGAAACAATCGAAGGTTGCAGTAACAATCTACGCGTTCTGTTCTCAACAGTAAATAATTTGACAAATCCCCCTGTTAAGATGCCATCAGAGCTTACCTCCAAAACCAAATGTAATGAGTTTGCAGAGTTTTTTAATGACAAAGTCCAAGGCATCAAAAATGCCATCACCTCCACAGTAGAAATTACAATCCAACAGCCAGTGAAGCTTTTTGGGCTGACACACTTTACACCAGTACAAAATGAAACTGTCCAAATGATAATTACAAGTCTGAGTTCTTCTACATGTAGCCTGGATGTATTACCTCCTAGATTTCTTAAATCTGTTCTGAGCAGTCTTTTACCTTCACTCACGCATATAGTAAATATGTCTCTTTAATCTGGAACATTCCCAATGGCCCTGAAAACGGCAGTCATCAGACCCCTCCTAAAAAAGAGGAGTCTGGATGCCTTGGCACTTAAAAGTTATCGGCCCATTTCAAATCTGCCTTTCATGGGTAAAATTCTAGAAAAAGTTGTCTATCAACAACTTACAGAATTTTTAATAATCAATCACTCTTTTGATATGTTCCAGTCTGGTTTTAGACCCCACCACAGCACAGAGACCGCTCTAGTGAAGGTAACAAATGACATCAGACTTAACACTGACGCAGGAAAAGTCTCAGTTCTTATCCTGTTAGATTTAAGTGCTGCTTTCGACACTGTCGATCATGGTATCCTCATTCAGAGACTTGAGGACTGGGTTGGTGTTTCTGGAACAGCCCTAAGCTGGTTTATATCCTACCTACAGGACAGAAAGTATTTTGTGGAGATCGGAAACTGTATCTCAGACCATCTGGCCCTAACCTGCGGAGTGCCACAGGGCTCAATCCTGGGGCCTCTCCTGTTTAATATTTACATGCTGCCTCTGGGTAGGTTAATACACAGTAATAACGTGTCCTATCACAATTATGCTGACGATACTCAGGTCTATGTGTCCCTGACAGCAGGAGAACATGGACCAGTGGACTCGCTCCTTCACTGTATCCAACAAATCAGTGATTGGATGCAAAATAACTTTCTCCAGCTAAACACAGAAAAAACTGAAATTATTGTTTTTGGACCTCAAAAACAAAGAGAGAGCGTTATCTGCCACCTCCAGTCTCTCTCCCTAAAACCCTCAACTCAGGTCAGAAATCTAGGAGTAATAATGGACTCAGACTTAAATTTCAATAGCCACATATCATCTGTGACATCATCAGCTTACTTCCACCTAAGAAACATTGCTAAAATTAA